TTAGACTCCTTTCATGCTCTTCTTTTGGGGAAAAATTATTCTGCTTGGAAGTTTCACTTCAGGTTATTCGCGAAAGGAAAGAAGTTGTGGATCATATTGTTGGTAGTGATTGAGGACTTCAAGAGAGAGAATTTGGATAAATGAGAAATTTTGAAAGCTCGGGTTATGGCCTGGATAATTAGTTCTGCCGAGACTCGTATTATTCTGAATTTGAGGCCGAACAAAACTACAATGGAAATATGGAATCATTTAAATAAGTTTTATCATCACGACAATGCAACCATGAGTTTCCACTAGAGTACAGAATAGCTAATTATACACAAGGGAGTTTGTGTTAGGGTATAAGGGGAAGGATAAATTAGTAAGATAGTTAGCATATGAGTTAGTTAGTTGCATAAGGTGTTTAGATATAAATAAGGTGTGAAGGATAGAAGAATGGGGTGGATATTTTTGTAAATTGAGCATTAGCTCTTTGTGAAAGGAGAAATCCTTTGTGAAGGGAAAACCCTTGGAGGAGAGTCTTCTCCTATTTCTTGTTCTTTTCATTCTATTCAATAAAGAAACTTTCCTTTCTTTTTCTGTTTAATTCTTAGTTCCTAACAAATTGGTCCGACCTGGCGGATTCTTTGAGGGAGAGCCACTTTTAGAGATGGAGGAAACACAAATTTTGTCCATGGGGAAGCTACTAGCGTTTGTAGGGGCAGATCCAATTGGTTGGATTGCTAGGGTTGAAAATTTCTTTGAGGTACATGGAATTGATTCTTTTCATAATATGCAACGTGCATTCATGAGCATGGAAGGGCATGGAGGGTGTGGCAATGCGTTGGTTCTATTATTGGTATCAAGATAACTTGGATTTAGATTGGAGATCTTTTTCAACTATTTTGATAAAAAAATTCAAAGATACATATGGTAACCACATCTTTGACAGATTGACTACCATGAAGGAAGAAGAGCAAACCAAGATTAAAACATGGCAGCAAAATAATGGAGACTTCCACAGGGTTCTTGAAAGTGTATGAAGAGGGTGTTCCAGATTTGGTTGAGCAAGAAAAAATAACATTGAGGAAAGTGGGTCAAAATGCATTGCAGCAGAGATTAGTTTTTGGACAAGAAAGATGGAACTACCAACATTTGCTTTCTGGAAGCATAGAAGCGGAATCTAATTCAAAGAGTGATAGTTTTTGAAATCAGAAAATAGAAGTAAAGAAGAAGACACGCTAATCAAGCATCACATTCTTGATAGTGAAGAAAAAACAAAAATGAAGAGAATTTAGGAAGAGAAGCAAAGATTATGTCAAAGGAAGATGTTGCTACATCAATAAAGACTGGGAAGATTATGGGATGTGAAAATCAATTTCTTGACAACCCAATTGTTTAGTTGATAAGAAAGGAAGTTGAAGGTGGAGATGTAACCAAACATAACTATTTTCCAAATTTAGATTTCCATATTAAGAATTAAGCATCATTGTTGGACTCAGATTAGGATCATCAATGGCATTAGAAACTTGGATTTTAAATTTTTTGGGTGATCCTTTAATAACATTAATCTTCATTGACTTCATGGATCACATCTTGGCAATGGAAATGCAGAAGGAAGGTTCAAAGGTTGTTACACAAAATCCACTCTCATCCCCACCACCACCCAAGTCACCAAACCTGAATTTGAATATAATAGCCATCGATTCTCATTCCTCTAGCAAAAAAGCATCACATGCTTTCAGGAACGGCAAATGAAGATCATGGTAATGAGGATGAATAATGGGTTCAAGCATCTACTATTACAACCTTGAGGACAACATTGATTTTTAGGTGGGGTGTATTGTTATATAAGGGGAAGGAGAAGTTAGTAAGATAGTTATCATATTAATGAGTTAGTTAGTTGCATAAGGTGTTGTTTAGATTTAAATAGAGTGTGAAGGATAGGAGAAGGGGTGGATATTTTTGTAAATTGAGCATTAGCTCTTTGTAAAAGGAGAAATCCTTTGTGAAGGGAAAACCCTTGGAGGAGAGTCTTCTCCTATTTCTTGTTATTTTCATTCTATTCAATAAAGAAACTTTCTTTTCTTTTTCTGTTTAATTCTTGGTTCCTAACAGTTTGTCCATAGAGTCTACTATTCCGGTTTCCAAACTCTTTGGAGTGAATATTCAGACATTGTTAATGCAAATGTACCAACTGAAGCTCTTTCTGCTGTCATAACAGTACATGAGTCCAGTAAGAGAAATCGATTCTTGATGAAACTCCAATAGAATTTAAAGTAGCACGTTCTAATCTGATGAATCAGGAAACAGCATATAATCACACAAGCAGCCATGAAACCCAAAGCTACTTCTAGTGATCCAATAAATGTAGCCTATGTTGCACAACATAGGAGTTGGGACAGATATATGCATGGTATTCAATGTTTTAGCTGCAAAAGATGTGGTCATACTGCCAAGGAATGCTCACAAAAAAATTGTATTGATTGCAGACAAACAAACAAAGAGCTGTATCCAGTGTCTCAGTGGTTGCATCTAGTTCCCAAACACCCCCACTACTGAAATGGTACAGCAGATGATACTATGCTTTTTCTGCTTTGGAATCTCTGGTTAACAAAACTATTCATGAAAAAATAAGAATAGAAATAACTGACAAGAGTTACAAAAGTATTTAGAGACTCAACAAACTAACTGTATATTACAAAAGCTGACCAACACAAAACAGAGGTTAGTTAAGAATGGTAACTCAATTTCTTCTTAGAACTCTATATTTTGATTCCAAAGCTTCAAACCATAAGAAACAATACAACTGTGTCTCTTTCCAATGTTAGGAAATATTTGGAAATAAGAAAATTCATCTAGCGGATGATAATTATGTGCCTATCAAGGTTGTCCGATGTATTTCTCCTTCTTTAATTTTGTGTCTCCTGATCTTTCCAAAACCTTATATTTTTGTTGAGCAACAATTGGTTGATCATAATTGTGATGCCCAATTTTCTTCTTCGGTTGCGTTGTGTAGGATCAGGTGTCCAAAAAAATATTCACAAAGGGACTTAAAAAATAGGACGACTATTTCCTACCCAATTAGCTTTCTCCACATGTTCTCTTAGTTTGTCTTTATTTTCTCTTGCTTGCACTGAAGTGCGGCAAAAGCGATTAGGTCATCCAAATTATCTTGTACTCAGTATTTTGTTTAAATCTGGTTCATTGGGCAACAAAAGTTATTGTTCTCTCAATGTTTCCTTTGATTGTATCACGTAGAAACTTGGAAAAAGTAAAATTTTACCTTTGACCAACACTACAACTCAGTGGTTTGATGTCATTCATAGTGATGTTTGGGGTATTACACCTATTATCTCCCATCTGCATTATAAGTAGTTTGCCATGTTCATAGATGATTACAGTTGTTGTATATGGTGGTTAATCTATATGATCAGAGAAGTTTCTCAATTTTTAGTTGTTTGTTAGGAATCTTGGTTAAGGTTGGAGTGTTACTGGACACCATATTTATTATACCTAGATTATTAGTATAGATAAGAGCCTTAGGTTAGTCTTTTGTATTAACACTAGATCTAATTAGTAATTATCATTGAACACACCATTTCTCTCTTTTCCACCCTTTTTTCTGAAATTTTAACAATGAAAAAGATATTCAAACCTGTCCATTAAATGCATATCAGTTATTTCATGCAACAAATTCTGCCAGTAGTATCTTATCCACCTAATTGACAAGGTCCAATTATGATTTCCCACTACATGGCAAGGTCCAGCCCTCATGAACATTCTTGCAAGATATGGCATCATTTTGTGGACCCAAGATGAGAAACTAACTACATCAACATAGGGAAAAAAACGCAACAGGAAAAGTGAAAATATGAAACCACTCTTATGCTTACAGAAGAAATCTGATCTCGGACTTAGTTATTTGCTATCCAGGTGAAGCACATGACATAACTGATTCCTAAGAAACACCATTATGAACTAAGAAAAAATGCAACACCAACTGCCCAAATATTTAGAAACAGAAAAAAAACTTCATTCCGTTTCAACTATATATTTGCCACTAATCAAACTATTTTATCACTAATTTAAAAGGGATTCATTCAGGTTCTTCTTTCTGTTCTAAACTTCTACAAGATCACAAGTATATCACAATCGTACCATAAATACAAAAGAAAGGGAACACAAATGTCTCTCACCAGTAACATGCAAGCCAGACCAGCAACAAAACAAGCGGCAAACCCATAAATTCTCTGCTTAGTCGACAACCAAAAATTATGTCATAGAGCCGTTAATGTTACATGAATTTGAAAGAGCAAGATAAAAGCGAAAATTTTTGCCAGCACCTGTGTTGTTGTGAGGGAGAAGAGGCCACCTGAATCCTCACCCAACAAACTCTCTCCCTGCTCTTCATTATCCCCTCTCAATGACCGACCAATGTTCCACATTGTTTCTAAACAATGGGTTGCTTACTCACTGTTTGCGCTGTACAAATTGGATGCAGAAATCAAATAATATCTACATCTATTGAAACTGTAAGAAAGAGAACTAAGAAATTAAAATATCCCAGCAAGTAAGCATATATCGGGAAAAAATTTCCACAATTAATTAGAAAATAAAAATTAAAAACAAGTTTAACTTCTTCATAATTAAATTTATACAATTAATATATACAAACTTTCTTAAATAACTTTTTTAAAAATTTTACTTTTAATTTATCCATAAACAGAATTTAATTAGTAGAAATTTCTTCGTTCTTCCTAAAGGTCATATACAATTGTCAATTAGCACTCAACTTGCAGTGCTTGATATATCTTACAGTACTTTCGATATTTTCCTCCTTTGTTCTTAAAAGTGGAGAAACAAAGGAAACATGTAAAATTGTTTTCATCGAATCGAAGAAAGGGAATAAGAGAAAATCTTACAGAGAATGGCCTCAGGAGGTTCTTTGTTACTGACAAATTTCAGTGGAGAAAGCAAAGCAACCGAAAATGTAGCGCACATTCCCCGATAACCGGCGCATGTGGAGAAGTCATTTGGGAAGAAAAGAGGAAAGTTTGGTGGCGTGGATGGAGTTGAAGAGAACTCAGCTCTACACTGCGTTGGCTGGCACTGGGCACCACGTACATTTTTCTGCGTTTTTTATTTTGATTTTTTTATTTTTGGATTTAGAAACTATTGAGTGAAACTTGCTATTGCACGGGTTTTAGTTTAATTTATATGATAATAATTTTGTTTCATAAACTAAAAATATTAAATTATATGATAAAAATATATATTAAAGAATACAATATATTTATGATTATTATATAAAAATAATTTATAAATGAATTTGATAGAATAGAAGAAAAAATAGTAAGGTAATTTAATCGTATGATTCTTTTAAAAATATTTATAATGAATTGTATACAACTAAAATATATAATAATATTTTTTTAAAATACATTTATTTCAAGGACCAAATACTGAATAGCTGGGATTTCCAATAGGAGAAAAATTGAGTTATCTAAATTAAATATTTACTATATATTACAAATATGAAGCTAACAAACCAAAGGGACTTCATGGCCCAATGGATAAGGCGCTGGTCTACGGAACCAGAGATTCTGGGTTCGATCCCCAGTGAAGTCGTTTTGGTGATAATATTTTGTACTTTGTATCTTTTAATATTATTAAATTAATATATAAATAATTTTATTTTATGAATATTAATCGATTATTTTTAGTTATCTCTAAAACAATAATTTTTAGTTAATCTTATTTTTACAATGTTAATATAGCAAAGGTAAATTTAATAACAAAATAATTTACTGACATCGAAATGATTTCATGGCCCAATGGATAAGGCGCTGGTCTACGGAACCAGAGATTCTGGGTTCGATCCCCAGTGAAGTCGTTTATGATTTTCATATTAATTTTTTTATAATACTAAGTATCTAACTAAGACACTATTTTGATTAATGTGAAAAAAATGGAGAAGTATGAAATGGTGCCATTTGTATTTAAAATTATTAATATGGTTAATTTATAAAAAATTATGAAATTGGGTCTTCTTATGAGTTCCATAACTCTTATCTTTTACTAAAATATTTTTATAATTATCCATATAAATCCTTTTTTTTTCTTGAATTATGATTCTCTTGACTGATTAACTAGGTAAAATATCTTTAGAAATTTTTTGTAATTATTCATATAAATCCTTAATTTTTCTTGAGTTATGATTTTCTCGTCTGATTAACTAGGATGCTTGTAAAAGATTTCGAAACTTAAATCAGTTAAAGAAAAGAATATAGGATGTAATAATTGTGTAAAGAATAATATATATATATATATAATTTATAATATTTTTAAATGGATTATTGGGTTTTTATTGAAGTTCAAGATTTTTCTTAATTACTTATTATTATTAGGTAACTTTTTTATTATATATCATACTAAATGAATTAATATCTACTTATTATATTTTATGCATTTTGAAAATTTAAATGGGTTTAAAGTTATATATTAGAAAAGTTAAATAATTTATAAGTAAGAAAAACTCATAAATTGATAAGGTTTTTTTATTGAAGGTGGTATCAATTTTTTATGTAAGTTGGGTTTATATTTCATTAGTGTGTTGTGTTATTTATGTGAATTTCTCTCAAAAGAATCTAACAATAATATCAAAATTGATAGTTAGTTTGATGATTCGGTGGATTAAGTACAATTTGAAATAGGTGAAACATTTTTTTTATTATGGATATCTGACAAAAGAAAATAAAGTCACTATTAGGTACTTATGATTAAAAAATATTTCTACTCGAGAGGAGTGATATACTAATGTAAAAGAAAATCAAACTTTAAAATAAAATTGTTAAGAATTTGAGTGAGTTCAAGTCAAAATGAGAAAATTAAATAACTTACGTATAAAAAAATTCATAACATAATTTAATATCTTAAAAATTTTCATTAAATAAAAAATTCTTTATATAAATTAGATTCATTAATATTGTTTTCTCAAACTTTACTAAAAGAATCCATAATATAAAAAATTATTTATATCAATTAGATTTGTTAATATTGTTTTTCTCCAACTTTACTGAAACAACCCATAATGAACATCTTACTTTTTTTATTCAAGACACTCGAGGAAATCATTTTAAGAGAAAAAATAATTCATTTATTTATTTTGTTTCTTGATCACAAAATACATCGCATACACATGATATATTGTTTTTGGTAATATAGTCTTACGTGCAAACACAATTTTAATTAATTATTTTTTATCTTTTTGCGATGGATGTGCTTTTATGCATCATATAATTTTTTAGTTTTTTAGTTTTTAATTTTTTTTGTTTTAGAATATTATTAGGATTATTATTTATTATTTAAATAATAACAATGAAATTAATAATTATTATAATAATGATAATAATAAAAATATAAACTTAATAATTATTATTATTATTATAATAAAAAAAGAATAAAAGTAGCAACAACAAATAATTAAATTCATAATACAATAATTTTTATTATTGAAATAATTTTTTATTATCATTATTATTTTTATTTAAAATAAAATAATAATACTAAATAATATTATAAAAACATTAAAAAAACTTAAAAAGTAAAAAAAAAAAAACATGAAAGCACAACTTAAAATAAATAATTTAATAACTAAATTCATATTTACATATACCACTTCCCTATTATAACTGAAAAAAAAATGAAAATTATATTTGAAATCATGATTTTCTTTTTTCTAAAATTATGTTTTTAAACACATCTTATCTATTTATAATTTTTTTTAAAAACAAACTAACCATATCCGTAATTTCACAAACAAATTACAATATTTCGATGCTTATGCAGAAAAAACACTGGTGGAAATTCGTAATGAGAACTTTTCTATTTCTCGGGTAGTTTCTGTTAGAAAAATATGTTAATTTCACGGGTAGAGCAGTACACAAATGATCTCGTTAAGCTGTGTAATAATATACTTTCGCTTACGCAGCAGCAATGAGTGAACAGAACTACACTATCATAAAGCACCATTCTCTCCTATTTTAATGTTCATTTACACTCTTGGAGAATATCACATAGTTGCTTGAGGGTGTTGGAGAAGTCTCCCAGGCTTGTTATGAGTTTGTCCCCTTGGCGTCTTGTAAAGTCAGTATGTGAGTCCTCTGCGTTCTGTGAGACACCTCCCTTATAGTCCGGTGCTGATTCAGCAGCAATTGCTTCAATCTCTACTGCCAAGTCTTGCAATTTCAGAGTCAATGTTTCCTGATTTACTTCCCTGCTAACTGCTATCTTTTCTACAGTGATCGGCTTTGGCCTTTCAATATGGTTGTTTTCATGAAGCTCTGCTTTGGGAAGGCTCTTTGGTGGCATCACTAAATCCTTTGGAGGCCTTTCTGCAGCACACTTCAACTTAGGTCTTGATTCTAGGAAGTCTTTCAAATACTCGTCTTCGGAATGATCATCCTCAGGCTCTTCTTCGTGGCTGTCCTCAGGCCTTTGCTCAAGACATACTTTGGGCTTTTGAACGCGATGCCTCAATTTACTTCGTTGCCCTTTTCTTTTGGACCCTGTTCATTGAATTTATAAAAATTCACCAGTTGAAAATACGATTTACACGGTATTGCTCCAAACGGAATAAAACAACTTAGTCTAGTTCATTTCCTAAATAATTACAAAAGTGTGGGAGAAAAGAAGAAACAGGTGGAATTATATCGTGTTAATCAAAACAGTTCCTCATGCTATACTTCAATTTTCACAATTCAAGAACAGATCAATAAAATTGGTGCCAAGGTTGACAAATATTACCCACTGCGATCATTTTATATTTAAACTGCCTTAGACAACCAATGAAAGGCCAAAATACTCTTAAGTCTCTGTATGTATCAATCTTACTTAATTCAAAATTTATGTTCAAATACAATTTCGAGGAGTCATAATTTTCTTCTCAACTTGCTCTTGGCTTGTGTTACAAAAGGAAAAAGAACCAAACTAAAATATCCAATTTTACATATATAGACTCTTCTGTTGAATGAGGTGCGTATCATTCTTCCTTTTGTTGTATTTTCATTCATGAAAAATTCAATGTTATATAATTACCCTACCAACAAAACCTGAATCTCTCAAGCAAGATGTAGGGTTAAAGCCTTGAGTTAGAAAAAATGAGATTGGGAGAAAAGACTACTAAAGAAGACCATCCAAGTACTTCCAAGGAGACCAAGTCATATCTATATTTTGTACTGATAAATAGTAATCCAAAGACAATACCGTACTAATTGTAAATTTACTTTTATTTATTTGAAGAGAATAAAATATGGGGATAATCCAGTAACTCCAACTTCATGCTTAGCAATATAAGGTGATTAAGACACTAAAACAAGTTTTGCAATTACATTAGAATACATGAGGCTTATTTGTACTGATAAATGGTAATCCAAAGACAATACCGTACTAATTGTAAATTTACTTTTATTTATTTGAAGAGAATAAAATATGGGGATAATCCAGTAACTACGACTTCATGCTTAGCAATATAAGGTGATTAAGACACTAAAACAAGTTTTGCAATTACATTAGAATACATGAGGCTTATTTGTTTATTGTAATATCCAGAAAATATCTTGAAATATCACTTCTGTATCTTATAATTAATAAAGAATCTTGGATGTTCTCTTATGAGTGGTTCCATATTTTATATACATGATTTGTTTCCTTGTTTAAAATACCCACAAATTAGATGCTTGCAAGAATTACTTATGAATAAAAACATTATTATTGTGGACCTCACACACATTAATTGCTTAAAATTGGACAAAGTTACTTATATAAGCAACTTTATCCCAATTTTAAGTAAATTTCTCTAATTTTAAACAACTCATGTTAACAACTCCCTTTGAAGATGCATGCTCTAACTTGTCCCATAAACCCAATAGCTGTGGCAGGTAGGTTGGCTCACAAGTCCTTTAATATCCCATTGATGTTGGCTCATGACATTGATAGAAAACATATTATGTTTTCATTTTTTGTTTGAGAAAAAAGGCTATGAACTGACAGTGTAAATCATCCAATCACAAACTACCATGTATGGTAAGTTTGTTGTCTTTTATAATGAATCCTAATAAGGGTAATTTGTGATTGGATACCGGTGTAAAACTATTTGACATCGTCACATTGTCCGTGCAAGAGCATTATACTGTTTTGTGTTTCTACATCTTCCCCCCCCCCCATCTTTTTTATCATCAAGATCGGATTGCAGGAAAATTAGGCCTTCTCAATCCATCTTCAGAAAAAGTGCAAATCCACCAAATCATGTTTTTCCAAAAGGTGGGGAGTGGGTGCTTTGCCAACACTAGTTCTGAAGTGCACGTTCTAATCTAAAGATACAAAGCAGCTTATAGTTCTACTGCTACATATTAACTGACTAATTAAATTCCATAGTTTGTTCATTAGCTTTTACTATGCAAGAAAGGAGACCAGAAACTGAACAAGCTTATCATTGAAAATCCCTCAATTTCTCTTCCATGTACTTTTCGTCATTAATGAGGACCCTTCCGCTATGTTTTATATAATCACCAGTCAGCAACACTGCCATCTGGCAAATATGTGGGTCTTTAAGAGCACAGGAGTATATTTAAACTAGCCTACCAACCAAATATTGCTTTAATAAAGACAAATAAGTTCTATGACTGCTTAGTCAGAAGCCTCCTCAAACATCCCCTTCCACGCCAACACTAACAATGAGTTATTGCTATCAATACAATCCATACATTCCTTATTTCACCATTTCACGTTCAAATGCATTGAATCAAACTACTTAGTCAATCAAGCACCATAACAAAGATTGTAGAAATCATATTCACAACAAGCTTAAATTGTCATATATGGTAAGTTCAAAGAACATACATATTAGATTCCTAAGTTAAAGATAATTCAAGCACAAAATGAATAAATAACAGATATCTTTTAGACTGTTATTCAGTCACAAATTATTGTGTATAATAAATTATTTGAAACATAGATTTGTTAAGTTTTAAAATTATCTAAAGGATGTGGTCAATGTGTAAAAAACTGTTAAGGATAGTGCATACCTATTACACTTCAATAAAATTTGAGTATAATCTGAAAGTATGAAGATTCGTATAGGTCAACCAATTAAACATCACCCCACACAGTACACACGACTTCTTTATTAGAAAAAAAAATAATGTTAATTTCATACACATCAATTAGTGATTGGATGAGCATCTGAACAATCTTAACACTTTCCTGATAATTCTTCAACTATTTATAGTTTCAGAAATGAAATTAACTGGTAAATAATATTAGGCGTATCATTCTTCCAATAACACAACGACACAAAGTTCACAGAAACATTTAAACGATATGTACCAATTTCCACGGTGGCGTCACGCGCCTCGTTCCCTGCTTCGGAATCGCTCTCGGGATCAACCATCCCCCGCTCCTCACGCGCCCTCACAACGCGTTCGACGGCCTCAAACAAATCACAATCGAAATTTGGCGGCAACTTGCCTCCAGCGGCTGCAGTTCCCCTGAGGCGGTCGTGTTCAGCGAGCAGCGCGCGCCACTTGCGGCGGCACTGCGCGAGGTTGCGGGGCACGTCCAAGGCGGCGCAGTTCTGAGCGATGATGTTCCACTGCTGGTGGGAGGAGAGCGCGACGGAGCAGTCGGCTTCCACCGCCGCGACTTCGTTCACCAGAATGAGCGACTCGGTGACGCTCCAATCCGGAGCCGCTTGGGAGCGCGTGCGTCGAAACGCGCTAGTCGAAACCGAAATTTCCTTGACATCATCGTCGTAATCCTTCATTTCTTCTTCACCTGGATTTTTTCCAATGTAGAAACCAGAAAAGAAAACTCCATCAGAAGAAGGAAGTGGTTTGTGGCATTTGCACTAACCATGTCCGAAACCCTCGCTCCGATTCCTGCTTAAAACGTCGTCGTATTGTGTTAATCAATCTGTCAGGTTTTTGGCCTCTTTAAGAAATGTTATTTGTGTGGTGAATATCTACAAATTGAAAGTGTAAGGTTTTCTTATTAGTTATTCAATGTAATAGATTAAAAAATTCATGAGTGTAATTTCAAATTATTAGGCTTAATTATAATTTGATTAATATGTAATTTTGAGCCTCTTTAATTATAATTTGATTAATATATAATTTGATCTGATAACTTAAAAATTAAATTAATAGATATTTTAATTTTATTAAAATGTAAAAGTTAATATTCAAAAATTATATATTTTTTTTGTAAGGATTTTATTTTCTCTTTCACCTCAAGGTTCCTTCTCAATCAATTTGGGCACAACTATTCTAAAAAATTAAAAGAAAACTACTTGTCTCAAGTTTAAATGTTAAACACTTTCAGAGGTAATCCATAATTAACTAAAAAGTAAAAAATAAATAATGAATTAAAATTGCACAAGAGAAAAATTAGAGACTAAAATTATGGATTTGCTAAAATATAGGTAGTAAAATTGCGCACTTTGTAAAATATAGGAACTAAATTTGTGGAAAATAAAATTTTAGAAACCAAAATTATAGGATTATGTTGTTTATAAACATTTAAAAATAATAATGTAAGTAAAAATATATTATTACATAATGGTAGATTTTAGTTTGATAGATTTTATCAAATGAAAAAAACAAATCTTTTAAATTGATTAGATTTTTCATTTTTTTAATATTACTATTTGGTCCAATAAACTTAATTTATTTTCATGTAATTTTTTTAATTTTGTATTTTTATTTTTTAAATCTTAAACACAAGTTTAAAAGAATTTTTATAATATAAATGCTACATTTAGTTTCTAATTCCTAATTGTGTAATCTCAAATTAAACAATTTGACCCTCAAAACTTGTTCCGTTGGAAGAAACTACTTCATATTTGGAGAAGAAAATTACAACTTCTATTTTAACACATATCTCACAAATAGAATTAAGATTTAATAAACAATAGATTCAAATCAAAGCTAAGATAGAAAGAAAAAATTTAACAAATATGAATTTAAATAGCATTATCTAAATCCAAGAGAAATCAATATTTATTTATGTTTTTATAGAACAAGGTTAATTGTCGCTAAGCTAATAGTAAAAAAGCATATTAATTTCAGAAGAAGGAATTTGATAGAATTTATATAAAATTCCGCAAATCAGTTCAGAAATAGATAAAGGATTATCACATGGATATTTATATAAGCTGGTGTAAAAAGTTTACGTAAGAATGGCCATTTAAACATGTAATAGAAAAAAGATACACGAGGGTTTAATATTATTTCACTTTAATTGAATTACGAGTAATTCTCTTTGGAATTTATTTAAAAGAGTTTCACTATAATTAAAATGTTGCAAACATATATTTTTTATGGCCATGTAGGAGGTAGTCACTAGATAGGTGTGTTAGTTTGAGGTTTTTAATAGAAGCATTATGAGAAGACATGATGATTAAGAGAAAGGTTTTTAAGCACAAGTAGTTTTAGATTCCTTACAGAAAGTTATTGAATAATCAAAGTTTCATCGAGGTACAACCAAGATATATCTGGTTGCATAATTATAGAAAAGGATAAGCTACTGATATCTAGCATAACCAAATTTGAATTTAAAAAGCTATGCAACAGAATGTTGTTAGAATTTGAAATACAAAAGGAAGTGATGGTTGATAATGACGAGGGAATTAAGGAGAAAGAGTTTCAACTGAAGTTTGCACTACAGTATTCAGTGTGGAAATTTGACATTCATTTTTGTCACAGTTCATTCCATTTCCTCTGTGAAAGAGCACAATAAAACTCATGACAGATGATCTACTACTTTCACCAATTAGTTTTACTGACAAAATAACTTAACATACGATAATTTCTTAAAGTGTTTTGTTGTATGCTACAAGATAATCTATGAAGTAGGTAACTCCTTGTAATCAAATTGCTCTTCTTCCTTGCCTGCAGAAGCATCAAGATTTTCCCCCGGAGCTGGACCATATGCCCAACAAACAGCAAGAAAGTAAAGATAGGTAACTATACCTAAGCAAGTGAGCAGTGCATAATAGTAATTCAAATGGCCCCTGTTAATGTTCGTTGATAACCAGCTCTCCTTCCCTCCTACACTAGTGACACTTTCCACAATGCTCATCAACATATTTCCCACTACATGAGCAACAGCTAGTTCAAGAGTGAAAAGAGCCATTGCAAAACTAGACATGGACTTGGGGATATAAGAGTAGAAAAACTCAACCTGCCCAACAGGATTAAAAGCCTCAGCTATTCCTAGTAAAACAAATTCAGGAACTAACCATAAAACTGACATGTGAACTACAGCATTTGGTTGGTCCTCAAAGCCTTCTTCAATGGCCACATTTCGTCTCATAGTTTCAACTATAGCAGATGTTACCTTACTTGCACATACAAACAACAATCCTATCCCCATTCGAGATCTACAACTGAGTCCTCTAGGCATGCCCATGAATTTTGATAGTAGGGGTACCATTATGCGATCGTACGTGGGAACGATTATTGATAGAGTGATTACAGTGATAAGAGTGAAGGATCCTGCAGGTATCTTGAAATTGCCAAATAACCTTCTGTCCATGGTATTTGCTTGGACGGTAGAGAATGAGCCTTGGCAGGCTATCATTAAGACGCCGGTGGACCACATAGGAAGGATCCTGAGCAAAGATTTTAGTGACTCGACCTGTCTTACCGTGCATTGGCTCCATGGATCTGAAATTGATCCATCAGTGTTTAGGACTGTCTCAGCATTTCTTATTAAGCAAGCTTTGTTCAAACACCTATAAAACAGAAAAGTAGAACTTGTCAAGAGGAGGCTAAAAGGTTCCTCATGAAGAAATAATAAAGACAATAACTAACACCTTGGACAAAGTTAATAAATGATTGTCAGTATCCAATATATGATGATACTTTTCTTACATGAATTTGAGAAGAGAAATTGAGGGGAAATTCATTAGATCATATTGGGAAAGCACAAGTACCGTAGGCTATCAGTGGGGACCATTGGATCCGAATCACGTTCTTGATAATAATGATCAGAGTTGCAATCAGGTAGAGTAAGTTTTCTGTTCTTCACAGCCACCACAACTACTTGTAGAAAACTTGTGAGTAAGCTCTGACCTGGATTCACTTTGGCATAGAACGGTGAACCAAGAATGAAACTAACAGCCGATAGAAACATTAGCACAGCAGGTACTCCAAACCCAATTTTCCAACCAAGATTTTCTTGAATGTACACAATTACACTCAAAGCAATCACAGTCGAAAGTCCAATTGAGGTATAATACCAATTAAAGTAGCTATCCAAGAGCCTCTCATCATTGGAACTTTCTTTAATTGTCAATTGATCTGCTCCAAAAGCTATGGAACAAGGTCTGATGCAACCAGCTCCAATGGAAATCAATCCCATGGAAAGGAACAAAACTGCTAGTTGACCTGCTGTAGCAGAGTTGCAGCCTAGCATCAATGGTTCACAGGAAGGTCTTAGCTCAGGGATCATGGCAGTTAACCACAAAAAGATTAAACCCTGTGAGACACAAGAAATATTATAACTGTATTATGAGAATAAACATCAAAACAATAATCCGTATCGTGTTCTTTTGAAAAATATGTCCTATATTTCCCCGAGAAAACAAATTATTTAAGAAATTCAAAAGCAAGCAGCACATACCTGTGTCGATGTGCTAAATATTTAAGAAATTCTGCAACTTTACTCGGTACAGAATTGCAAACATTCAAGTGCTCATGATAGAGAAATTATTAACAGTTTTAGATCATTGATAAGAACTTGGATTATATGATGTAACTAACTCAAAGATCAAGTATTTAAGTTTGTGTTATTTCTTAATGTTTAAGGGTATGTTGTCCCAATGTTTGGCTGGATATGAATTAGTATTAGATTATCGGTCATGTAGGGTACTTTCCAACCATAATAACAATTTCTGTCCTTCTTGAAGCATCTAAATAGACTATATCTTAATAATGAGATGATGAGACTTACAAGAAGGCTGGAGAAGGAACCGATGGAAATGACGAGGAATCGACCCAAGTAAGAATCAGAAATGAAGGCCCCGAAGATGGACAAGACATTGGACATGGCAGACCAAGTGTTGATTAATTTTGTGCCATCCACAATGGGCATGGCGTAAACGTTCATTAGGTAGAGTATCATGTTGGGCATGATCCCATAGCTCGCCACCTTCTCCAAACACTCGTTCACTGAATTGAGCCCGAGCCCACAATGAAGATAAACATATAAGAGTGAATGAACAATTTAGGTAGATACTATGAGAATCGACCATAGACTCTAAAGTCAACTCTAGCAAAGTGAATTATGCAAGGAGTGTGTTGGAAATTGTCTATACGTATTGAAATTCTATATAACTGTAGATGCAATAAAATTATAGTAAATAGATGAACTACAAAATAAACTTAGAAACTGGTTTTTGTAGGATTAAGATTTCTAACCGAATTAGCTACGAAATTTAAAGTGAGTGAGTGAGTGAGGGAAAATATACCTATGATGAAGGGCATGGTTCGCAAGCCACCCTTTCCTTCTGAGGATTCATGATCAGAAGAAGAAGTTCCATTTTGTAAGAGTTTCTTGCTCGAGGCTCCTGAGGATTCCATCGCCTTTGTTATCTTTTTGGGGTGTTGAGTTGAAACAAAGACAATAATGCAAGAATTTGGAGTACACAAATATTGAGAAAAGTGGGAACATGTTATCTCTGCGTAAGATAAGCAATAAAATATTCAGAAAGACTTCTACATGCTGACACACGTTGAATGGGATGCGACGACTTCCTTCGAAACATTATAAAATAGAATAACAACAACAAAACGATAACACATTAAAAATAATAATCAAGACAACCTTCATTGACATAGTGATGTCGCTTCCTCAACGACAAGAAGCAAGTCTGACTCCGAACTTACCTTTCACTGTCTGGTTTTCTCCATTGCTTTCTTCCCCCCTGCGTTATAACCGACCACACTGATGTTCTACTGGTGTGTCAAAGGTGTTTGTTTATCTGTATTTTTCTGCATTTCTTGCTCATCTATTTAAACCTCAAAAGCTACTGCATAAAAGTCTAATGGATGTAAAAAAAAAAATCAATGTCAGAAGTTATTCATCAATGGTTTCAATTGTTAATAAATAAGGAGTATATTTAGACATATATTTTAAGAAATACTTTTAGATAAAATAAATAAATAAATAAACTTTTATATATAGAGAGAGAAAAGACAGATTTATCAATTAATTAAGTCATAAGAAAAATTTTAACTTATTAAGAAACGTAGTTCCTTTCAAATATATTTAAGAAACTTATCATTCTTTTATATTATTTTCATTACTAAATCAATCAATCATATATATATATATATATATATATATATATATATTGTATGTCAAAATGATAATTTAAGTTTAAAAGATTATAAGATTTTAATTCGGTCATTGAATTCAAATAATTTAAATGGATTAAAATAAAATCTTCAAAATGAATTTTATCTTCCATTCTAATTATATTTCTAACTATTATTATTAAAATATAATTTAATCACTATGTATTATTATTATTAAAACATGATTTAATATATACATATATATATATAGTTTATATATAATAATTAGTTCAAATAAAATATAATTATTGAATTTAAATCATTTAAATGAATCAAAATAATATCTTTTAAATAATTTTTATTAATATTATCATTTAAATATAATTCAGCAACATTATTATTATTATTATTAAACTATAACATGGTTTATATATAAAGACTTACTTTTTATTATTAATATAAATATTTATTTGAAATAAAAAAAATGAATATGAAAGATAAATAATATTTTTAAGAGCTATATTTATTTATTTTATAAATTAACTTAAAAATATAAATTTTAAGGATTAAAAATCATTTAACCTCGCTTTAATGAATTTTTTTAATATTATATTGCTATTATTTTACAACATTTTAAATAAGATGGCAAAATGTCTCCTGAAACATGCTTAAGACGTGATTTCTGTGAGTGAAGAAATTTGAAGTAATAAAATCTCAGTAAAAAATTGAAGGAGCAAAAGGACAAAATAGATACATCAGAGGAACGAGTGCTTATTTAGGCAAAAGCACCAATGGTGGAATTTGTTTTCAAAATGAGTATTTTTCTAAAAAAAAATCATAAATGGATAAATGCGGTTTCACTTAAAAAATCATATTTTAAAACATAATTTTTAATATTAAAATGTATTGCAATACACAATTTTAGTTTTTTTTTTTACGTTCTAAAGTATTTTAATTTTGTATGAAGTACTTAAATATGACTTCACTTTATTTTATAAATATTTTTTAATATTTATATATTTATTATTATTAATTATTATAAATAATAATAATTTTTATTATTATAATATTATTCATGATTTATATTATAAATAATAATTATAATAAATAAATATTATTTATTATTATAATCATAATTATATTTCTTCTTTTTATCATTATATACGATTATAAATTTATTATTATTATTTATTAATTTTATTATTATTAGTATATTTATTAATTTTAATATTTTTGTTATTTATTTGAAATGATAATTGTAAGTCCTATTATCATTACATTAACAACCTAAAATTTAAACATACATAAAGATATAAATATATTTATTTACACCAAAAGGAAGATTATATTATATAAATTTCTTATACATTTTTTTCAAACAAAATAATTAAAATGTAATTTTTCATCTACACCTCATCATCAACTTAATGTTGAGAATGATTATCTAAAATATTATATGCTCTCGTGTAACAACATGTTCATTACATATTAGATTAATACTTCACACAAACTAGAGTAAGTTAATGATAAAATTAGTTATTCATATTATTATCATAAAATATTCTCAATATTCACATTTTAATAAATAATTAATGCACAACAACTATATACAACAAATCAAATATATAATATATCAGCATGCAAGTTACATCCAAAGCTATCATACACTGACTTTCATAATCATAAACACTTGACTCTATTTTCGGAAGACTCTAATGCATTGAATTTAGACTCAAAGATTTGCACTTGTCACAGTATATTCTCTAAGTGGATATGTCCAACATAAGTACATAATTATAACATGTTCCCTCATGTGATAAGGTAAATCCCTATAACTTGTCATATACATGAGTCCAATAATAGAGTCACGGTATCTCCTTCAGAATCCCAAATTCAATACATTACCTATATCTCAACATAGTATCTCCTCCTTAGAAACTACTATATTAACTTTCATCAATTCATCAAAGATATAACATACATATAAGTGTATCACATGATATTTCTCACATTACAATAATATATTTTTCTATACATATATTAGCACCCAACACACATTATTTCATGTTCAATACATGTCTTTTATTATCATAAGTCATGTATATATCATTTCTCACATTTCAACAAAGAATAAATTTATAGGATTTGACCTATATCTATTCCTTTAAGCGTACCTTTTTTCTACAAATATAATTTTTAACTAAATCTTGTTTCATTGTATTACTTACTTTTAGGGCTTTGATTTGCATATATGGAAGATTAGATTTGAAATTCTAAGCTATTTTTTTATGATTTTTAGAAGTTCAGACAAAAAAAAATTATAAGAAATTTCGTTTGAGCGAAAATACACCCGAGAATCACCTTCTTTTCTCTAGGTTAAGCGAGACTCACTTTCGTTTGAGTGAAAAAAATTTCGTTTAAGTGAAAACACAATCGAGACAAGTCTCGTCCACTAGGAGTTATTTCATTTGAACGAGATATTTTTCACTTGAAGGAAAATGCACCCGAGAGGAGTAATTTCCTCTTCTGTACATTTTGCTTGAGCGACCAGTTATCGTTTAAGCAAAATATGCAGATAACAAACCTGCTAAATTTGTATTAAACTACACTCCAGATATCAAACACTATCCTATGAGACTCTATTACTCAAGTTTCTTTTAAAATATGTCATACCTAATCCAATTATAACTCATGCCCTAATAGTTTATACACATCATTACTCTAACCTTAACTCATTTAATCAGAATTTAAGATATAATCCAATAACTCAATTTCTTCTAACCTAGAGTACTATAAAAGTCAAAGAACAACTAATTTCTCTTATCTTCCAATTTCGAGTGCTTTCAAGTTTGAAAACTCCAAATTTCCAATTTTTTAGGGAGTCGAGATCCTGCTCACCTCAATTAACAAATCGAATCTATTACAATGTTCCTAAACTAATTAAGATTCATCTTTACCTCACCAAGATCACATGTAAATCTTAGCCCCCAATTTGTAAAAATACTCTAAAATTGAGGAAAGAAAAACTTAATATATTTAATATTCTAATTGATGAAAATATTCCTCGCTAATAGGAATACAATGATGTAAAAGATTATAAGAATTGAGTAAGAAAGTTTTAGAGAGAAATTAGAGGATTTAGAATTTAAAGAGATAGTAATTATTTAGAAATGAAGTTGAAACGTAAAAATTATCTATTTAAATTATTTTTATCTTAAAAATAAAAACTTCAAACTTTAATTTATTTAACCACTATTTCTCTTTAAATTACTAAAATACCTATCCTTACAATAATAATAATAATAATAATAATAATAATTATTATTATTATTATTATTATTATAATCAATAATGATAAATAAGTATAATAATAATAATAATAAAATTAATAAATATAATAAATTTATACTTGATAATTAGAATTGTTATTATAGGAATAAATAATATAAAAAAATTAATGGTTGCAATAATTATTAATAATAATATTGTTGTAATAATATAAATTGTGAATATTATTATTATAATAATATAATTATAATTATGAATATTAATAATAATAATAATAAATAATTAGTATTATTATTAATTTATTATTATAATTATAATATTATTTTTTATAATTATACAATTATAAATTTGTTATTATATTTCTTAGTTTTAGTGTTATTATTATACTTATTTATTATTATTTATTAAATTGTTATTATTATACTTATTATCATTTTAAATAAATAACAATAATAGTAAATATAGTTACAATAATTACATGTACCCGGTCGAATGATCAAGGATGTCCGAGATACTAGATCAGTATCTCGAGTTATCAGATATTATTTGAATAAAATATTTTCAATTGACCGAATTAGGGTTCAGGTTTAGAGTTAAGAAGTAAGGAAAATATTCCTTTAACTCTCGAATATTTATGATTCACATGGTTTTATAAATGGTTAAGAATAGGTTATTCATTCTACTTTTTTTCTACAGGTCACACATTAACTTAAACATAGGAGAGGTTTTGTTAGTACCTTCCCCTCCGTTCAATATCTACTCGAAATTATCAACGTTAGCTCGGACGCCTTTAAACTCAAGTAGCAACAATGATAAAATTAAAAAATATAAAAACAATAAAGTTATTATTGTAATAATATTATTATTACTATAACCATTTATATTATTGATTTTATTATTTATTCCTATATTATAAATATGATAACATTTCTATTATTGTATAATTAGAAATTTATTATTATTATCTCTATTAATTATTATTATTATACTTATTTATTAAAATTAGTATAATTTTAAATAAATAAAAATTATAATAAAGATCATAAATATACTAATAATAGTAAAATTAATAGAATATAATAATAAAATTATTATTTCAATAATATTATCAGTAACTATTATAATAATTAATATTATTAATTTTATTATTTATTCCTATAGTTATAATTATATATATAATTTTTAGTATTATATAATTATAAATTTATTATATTTTTTATTATACTATATTTATTAATTTTAGTACTATTTTTTAAAATTATTACTATGCTTATTATCATTTTAAATAAATAAAATTAATAATGAAAATAATAAACATACTAATAATAATAATAATAATTAATATATATATATATATATATATTAATAAATAATAATAATATCATGATAACAAAAAGTATTAATTTAACTATAATAATAATAATAATAATAATTTTATAATTGTCTAATAATAAGAATAAGAAATACAGTTATGATTATAATAATAAATAATAAAATTAATAATATTAATTATTATAATAATAATTATTAATAATATAAATTATGAATAGTATTAGTATAATAATATTTATTTATTATAATGAATAATAATTATTATTATTATATAAATATATAAAGATTAAAAAAATATAAAGAAATAAATATAAGGTAGAGTCGTATATATAAATATGACTTTAACATAAAAAAATTTATTAAAGTTGTATATTAAAATATAATTATAATATTAAAAAAAGAGTCATATTTTAAAATACGTTAATAGTGATACATTTCCGAAATCTTTTAGAATAATATCATTTTGAAGACCAATTGTAGCTTATTCTCTTACTGAAACATTTTATTGATATGCTGGACATTATCTAAATTTGTTTTTATTGCCGAACATTTTATTATGTTCAACGGTTTAAGTGTTATCTCATGTCTACAGGTACCCATAACCGTGCAGAGTAGGCAAACACTGGGAACAGTTGATGGAAGCAAAAGAAAGAAAAAATTATGTAAATGGGAAGAATTTCAGAAAAGGCTATTGATAATGGCATAACTAAGTCTTAACTGGGAAAAGTTTCCACTGTAATGGCAGTATTTATTTAGCGTGGAAAGCTACAATCACTTTTTCATATATTTCGTTCCATTTCTGCGGCATATCTACTTCTACAGTGCAAGACCACAGTCCAGGACTCAGCACATATCTACTTTTAACCTATGAGTTTTACAGATAAAACAACTTACAGTGCTACAACTTCTCAAGTGATTTCGTGTACCTGCTGCAAGCTAGAAGATAATCTAGGAAGTGGGTAACTCCACGTAATCAATTTGTTCTTCTTTCTTGCCAGCTAAAGCTTCAAGTTTTTGCTCCGGAGCAGGACCATAAGCCCAACAGATAACAAGAAAGTAGAAGTAGTTAAGTATACCTAAGCAAGCGAGCAGTGCATAATAGTAATTCAGATGACCCTTGTTAATGTTAGTTGAAAGCCAACTCTCGTTCCCTCTCACACTAGTGCCCTTGTCCACAATGCTCACCAACACATTTCCAAATATATCAACAGCAGCAAGCTGAAGAGTGAAAAGAGCCATTGCAAAACTTGACATGGACTTTGGTATATAAGTGTAGAAAAACTCAACCTGACCGACTGGATTGAAGCCCTCAGCAATTCCAAGCAAAACAAACTCAGGAACTAGCCATAAAACTGACATGTGAATTACAGCGTTAGGCTGGTCCTCAAAGCCTTCTTCTATGGCCGTATTTCGTCTCATAGTTTCAACTACAGCTGATGTTGCCTTACTTGCACATACAAACAACAATCCTATCCCCATTCGAGATCTACAACTGAATCCTCTAGGCATGCCCACGTATTTTGCTAGTAGAGGTACCATTACACGGTCATACGTGGGAATTATTATTAATACAGTGATTACAATGACAAGATTGAAGGATCCTGCAGGCATTTGGAAATTGCCAAATAATCTTCTGTCCATGGTATTTGCTTGGACAGTAGATAATGCGGCTTGGGTGGCAATCATAAAGATGCCCGTAGACCACATAGGAAGGACTCTGAGCAAAGATTTCAGTGACTCCACCTGTCCTACTGTGCATTGGCTCCATGGATCTAAAACTGATCCGTCTGGTTTTGACACTGCCTCGGGATTTCTTATTATGCAAGCTTTGTTCAAACACCTATAAAAGAAGATAATATTGATTCACTGTCAAATTATTCAGTAAAATATTATACGACAGGAACATGTCTGTGCGATGGAATTACTCTACATTCCCAAAAAAAGTAGAATTTGTCAATGGGAAGCTGAAACATTCTTAATGAATAATAACAAACTACATTGAAAAAAGTTAACATATAATAGTCATTATCCAATATGGATACTTGGAGATATCATTTGCTGTTAATCATATAAAATATATGGGGGGAAAACAATTTTGAGAGTGAAATTGACAGAAAACTAGATCATGAGGGCAAGCACAAGTACCTAAGGCTATCAGTAGGAACCACCAGATCTGAATCACGTTCGTGATAGTACTGATCAAGAGAATCAGGAAGACTAAGTTTTCTGTTCTTTATGGCCACCACAACTACTTGAACAAAACTAGTGAGTAAGCTGTGACCTGGCTTTGCTTTAACATAGAACGGTGAACCAAGAATGAAACTGACAGCCGATATGAACATTAGCACAGCAGGTACTCCAAACCCAATTTTCCATCCAAGATTTTCTAGAATGTACACAATTACGCTCAAAGCAATCACAGTTGATAACGCAATTGAGGTATAATACCAATTAAAGTAGCTATCCAAGAGCCTCACATCATTGGACCTTTCTTTATTTGTCAGTTGATCTGCTCCAAATGCTATAGAACAAGGTCGTATGCAACCAGCTCCAATGGAAATTAAGCCCATGGAAATGAACAAAACTGCTAGTTGGGCTGCTGTGGCAGAGCTGCAGTCTAGCATGAATGGTTCACAGGAAGGTCTTAGCTCTGGGATCATGGCAGTTAACCACAGCATGGTTAAACCCTGAGAGAGACAAGAAATATTATAACAGCATTAAGTAAGCATCTAAGAATCATTTATGTCAAGTTTTCCTTAAGATAGTTCCCATTTCCTCAGGAAAACTGTTAGAAATCTCTATCAATGCAAAGGATGTGCTGAAATCCTCCTTTATATGAGAGGTGTGACAAAAACCTTCTTCAATGTAAAAGGGTGTAATGAAAATCTCTCTAGATGTGAGGGATTGTGATGAAATCTCATTGACCAGAAATACGAAAAAATGATGGTATATAGGTGAGATTTACTTCACCTACTAAGACCAATTTTATAAGATTGAGTTAGATTTCTAATTTGGTATCAAAGTCAATTAGAATTGAGACTATTGAACCTTTAATGGTTGTTGAAATGAAGTGTTAAAATCTCCTATGATGTGAGGGGTTCTGATAAAATCTCACACCAACTAAAGATATAATAAAATTATAATATATAAGTGAAGTAGACACCTCACCTTACTAAACTGCTAGTTTTGTAGGGTTAAGAATGACACTTGTCTATTTCTAATAAAAACAAAACAATGGACCACCACAGAGCACCCTTTGAATGAATACAGTATGCCATGACTGACTACTCTAGCCTACACCAGCTAAAGCAATTACAAGTAAATAGTGTGTTTATGCTAAAAGTCAACAAACTTCAAATATGATTTCTCCATGAAGTTCAAATGCTTATAATTATGAAAATTATGCTGCCATGCGAATGTTTAGGTGATAGCAACGCGTCACCAGCCCAAAAATCTAGCCCATCAGAATTACGAGTAGGCCAACCTACCTCAAAGACTATGTTTGATAGGAAATTTCTAATATTGGGTCTGTTAAGATTTTATTACACTAGGTGCTTGACTCAAGTTTGTTACTGTTGCCTTTTTTTCCTTCTGGATATTTTCTTTGTCCTTTGCCCGTACCTACAATTGCGGGGAACCTCTTTGTCCTGATGCCTTTATTTTTCCTTTCGGAATATTCCCTCTGTTCTTTTGCCCGTAGCTACAATTGCGGGAACCAATGATTGCAAGATGTATTCTCTTATTTATTCTATCGTGCATGGAATGAAAAAACAGAAAATTTTACACAAAATAGTTATTTAGCATAGCTGTAGTGTTCTCTGTTCTATCATTAGGCATCTTGATTTAGGTAGTTTGCTCAAAGCAACTTTCCGAGTAAAGTTCACGCATTTTATGACAGACCAGCTAAAGCGGACCAACAAACATTTGATTTCTTACACAAGGTTTTGGTTTTTACGGTGAGGGAGGGAGGTCTATACTTACTTGTTTTGAACAAGAGTGGAGTCTCAGAAGCAATTTTTTGTTGTGTTGCTATCTAGCATGTACCTACAGGATCAATCCCATGGTTCTAACAAAAGCCAGTGCTATTACCAAAATGGCCATCCATTATGCTATTCCACAAAGATACACGTTCACCATAACCAGGTTATGTGAGAGAGTGGAAACTAAATCCTCAAAAGCCTAAATAACCAGATTTATAAACAAAATGAAAAAAGGTATGCAGAAAGCACCTGCATTGATGAGCTAAATTAGTTAAGAAATTCTGCATCTTTCTCTTCTTTTTTATGCTTTTCTGCAACTTTCTCTAATAGGTAAAGTCCAGCTCCATTTTAAACAAATTAACAGTCAGCCTTCAGTACTTAAACTTTATAGTTTGCTTATTTAAAATTTTGGAAAAAAAAAAATCGATTCTTAATTATCTGAAATTTTTTTTATATAACTTCTTAAAAATGTTATTCTACCTAAAGATGAAGCTTAAAATGATCTAAAAATGAAGATATTTATAACTACCTTTTAATTTCTTAAAATTATAATTAAATAAAAACAATTATTACTTTCTATATAATTATTGAAAGATATTTCTTCTTTCTCAAAGTAATTACATTTTAAGATCTTTTCACACTTTAAAAATAACAATGAATATGTCAATAAACATTTTTATTAAAATAACCTCTCTTTTCTTATGTTTTACTTTCATCTGCAGTTGTAATTTATTTGGAGGCAAATTAGAAAAAAAAATCAATATTTCGTAAAAAACTAACAATCTGAAATTTTTTTTCAAAAATTTAGCCTTCAATCATCTTGAAATGGAAGAAATAAATGATTTTTACTTAATTTTAAAACAATATAAGCATATAAATTGCTCTTAAAATTCTCTTTTTAATCATAGGTTTCCACAAGACTCAAATTTTTTTAAAATTCTCCTCCAGTCATATCTCTCTGTTTCCAAGACACAAATCTAAGAACTTCATTTATAATTGGAGCTAAATTCCATTCCAACAAACTTCATTTGTTAAAAATTCAACTCACAGCCAAATTTTCTATGTAACTTATTTGCGGAATTCAACATGTTGAAAATTTTGCAACAATTCACATTTAACGTTGAATCAGCTGAGAATACCTCCCCTTGCTCGTAAAGAGTGCTTATAAAAAAAATATTATGAAATTTAGATTTTAAAGTGAAACAAAATTTCTACTGTTTTTCTTTTCAATTTTAAAAAATTCATGAATGATATTCATAATAAAATAAAATGTGAGAGTAGATTAATAGTAGTAACCTATTAAAAATCATGTTTAGTATGTTCTGTAAGGAATTAAAAAAAAAAAACTCATTAAGTTTAAGTTTTTTTTTTAAATAAAGAAAATTGATATAATTTTATTTATTTATGTGGGATAAACTTCTTAAAAAGAAAACAAAATAAGAAGAAAATAAGTTTTATTTTTGGTCCAGTAAGGAAGAACATACTCTGCTTTAACTAGACTTACAAGAAGGCTGGAGAAAGAACCGATGGAAATGACGAGGAATCGACCCAAGTAAGAATCGGAGATAAAGGCCCCGAAGATGGACAACACATTGCACATGGCAGACCAAGTGTTCATCACTTTTGTGCCTTCCACAATGGCCATTCCGTAACCCTGCATCAGGTACAGAATCATGTTGGGCATGATTCCATAGCTCGCCACCTTCTCCAGAGACTCGTTCACTGAATCCAGTCCACAATGAAGGTAATCAAAACGACGTCGTTTGTGAAACAGCGAAAAGCGAATGAGTTACGGTTATGAATGTCAAAGCTAAGGGAGAGAGTGGTACCTATGATGAAGGGCATGGTTCGCAAACCACCCTTTCCCTTTTCGGATTCGGAAGATGATGACGATAGAGTGCCATTTCCCAGGAGATTCTCGGAGTCCATTTTTTTCTCGTCTCGGAGTCCAGGAGAATCTGAGAGAAGAGTGATGCGTGCGAAACGAGGGTGGAGAAAGGCTTGTATAACACACCACAATACAAACCTAACCACGAGGTCGTTCTAAAATAATGTAAAATGTGTTATAAATATCTAAAACAATCATTGGAAAAAGAAAATAAAAAAGATAAATTTATAGAAAACATAATTTGATAAAATAAAATAAAAAAATCCCCATAATAGGATAAGAAGACACATATTTCTTGAACTCGTTCCTCTTGTACAAAAGACACGTTTACTTTTTTCTTTCATTCATGCATGCAAATTTTTGTAAGGAAAAAAAAAACAATTCGTGCCAGTTTTATTTACATGACGGTAATAATTCGGCTTCTAACAAAATATTAAAAATTAAAAAATTAATATCAAATTTTAAAATTAATATATAAAGAAATTCTTAATTATCCAATTCGGTGCACTTCGAAGATTTGATGAAATTATGAATTATGTTTCGAATTTTCAATTTTTTTTTTAATATTTCGATGTTGAAGCCAATTTTAGACAATATATTTGAAAATAATTAATGATTAAATCTCCTCGTACAATACTGAAAAGATAATAATAATTTAAAATAAATAATAATAATTAATAAATCAAAATATACTCATTGATAAAAGATATTATAATAAACAAAAAATAATTATTAATATGAAATAAAATAATTAAATAAATAAAATAATTTAAATGAATGTGAGTGAGCTAGATATATAATTCTTAATAATTTTTTATATATAACGGTGTATTTTTTAAATAAAAATTAAAAAATAATTACATATAAAAATTAAAAATAATTTTATTTTTACCAATTATTTGGATATGGTTTATATAAATACATATAAATATATTAAATGAGTTTATATATTTTCTTAAGTTAGTTGTGAAACTCTAAAGTAAAAATATGAAAGTCTTATAATCTTGTAATAAATATCTATTGCATATAAATGAAGAGAATGAGAAGTATTTGAAACAAGTAGAAATTAGAATATGGTGTAAAATTCACTTTGCGAAAATTTTATTTTATCATGATTATAATAAACTCAACCTCATCTAAAATTTGATTAGACTGTCTTTATTCCAGCCTAATAAAGAATTTCTTTAGTTCAATTTTTAAAAATTAGGATATGATTGAAAACTACTTTAAAAATGATTTATATGGAGATTTCCAACTCTACTTTCTTTATCTTCTCTTGTTTAATTATGGACTGTAGTGAAGTGAAATATTGATTAATTTGTGCTGCCAAATAAAATAGTCTGTGGTGATTGGTTGTTGAGAAATAGAAAGGGATAACAAAAGATAATTATTTTTTGTATTGAGTATTATTGGACGTTAGATAATTTGGCCAAAAATAAGGAAAACTATATTTTTTTAAAGATTGAAATTATACTTAAACACTAATGAGGTTTGAATTATGATGTTAATTTTTATCTTACATTTCATAAAAGTTTATTTAAAGAAGGAAGAGGGTACATAAATTAAAGTTAAAATAATTCAGAATTTAGAGTTGAAATTAATCAAATAATTACTAGAAGAATATGACTAAAGTGAAAAAAAAAAAGATTGCGGAAATTAATATAGTAGGAAAAAAGTAAACATGATATAAAATAAAAACAACAAAATAAACTTGTGAAAAAGATTCACAAATAATTGATATTGTTTAACCGTTGTTCTAAGACATTTATAAAAGCAAGAGTATTTGAATACTCTTACCTCAAAACATTTATATTAACTCTCTGTTCATAGATTAATTTTGATGGTGTTTTATTTTATATTTTCAAAAAAATTACATCGTGAGAGAACCATGAGTTTTCTACACAACGCGTGACTTTCTCAACGGTCGAATATGTTTTTTTACTTCCAAAATTCATCATTGATCCCTTTTAACCATATTAACTTCTTCCATCATTTATACTATTTTAATGGATTATTTTTTCATTCACCACCCTTTTTCAGCATATCTTTTTGTCTACACATGATTTCTCGAAACATTATTTTTATACTTAACAATTTTTTATATAATCAATAAGATATATTTTTATTTATTAATCAACTTACCTTTACTTAGTTCACTCTAGTCAAATTTTGTTATATATAAGAACATCTATAACACAAAGTAAGGAATGCTAAAAACATAATCTCATAGCATTTTATTATTCACACTCAAATACACTATTCTAAATTAAACTCCTTTTATGGGTTAAAATCTATGGTAAAGTATAGCAAGAGAGTCATTAAATAAGTTCATATCAAATTTTGTAACTTTTCATTAAATTTCAATCCACATGAAAGAATGTCATCCTGACATTTCTAATGCGGGTAAACACTGTCATAAATTGAGCAAAATATAAGAAAATGATGTAAAATAGAAAGAGTTTTAAAAAGGCTATCGATAATGGTATAAATAAGTTTGTAACCATGCAAAAGTTCCACTACAATAAGTTTATTCTTCATGATATATACTCCTACTGTGCAAGACCACAATAAAACTTTGCACAGGTCTACTTTTGACCTATTAGTTCTACAGATAAGACAACTAAAAGTAGTACAATTTCTCATGCGTTTACAGTACCTATTGTATACTCAAACTTAATCTAGGATGTAGGCAGCTCCTTGTAATCAAATTTCTCTTCTTTCTTGTCTGCTGAAGCTTCAATCTTTTGTCCCGGACTAGGACCATAAGCCCAACAAATAACAAGAAAGTAGAGGAAGTTAATTACACCCAACAAAGTGAGCAGGGCATAATAGTAATTCAAATGTCCCCTATTAATGTTAGATGATAACCAGCTCTCCGTCCCTCCTACACTAGTGACCTGGTCTACTATGCTCACCAAGATACTTCCCACTACATTAGCAGCAGCTAGTTCAAGAGTGAAAAGAGCCATTGCAAAACTAGACATGGTCTTCGGGAAATAAGTGTAGAAAAACTCAACCTGCCCTACAGGGTTAAATGCCTCAGCTATCCCAAGCAAAAAAAACTCAGGAACCAACCATAAAACTGACATGTGAATTACAGCATTAGGTTGGTCCTCAAGGCCTTGTTCAATGGCTGCATTTCGTCTCATAGTTTCAACTATAGCTGATGTTGCCTTACCTGCACACACAAAAAGCAATCCTATACCAATTCGTGTTTTAGAATTGAACCCTCTAGGCAGGCCCCAGTATTTTGCTAGCACAGGTACCATTATGCGGTCATATATGGGAATGATTATTGATAATGTGATTACCATGATAAGAGTGAAGGACCCTGCAGGTATCTTGAAATTTCCAAATAACCTTCGGTCCATGGTAGTTGCTTGGAGGGTAGAGAATGAGCTTTGGGACACCATCATAAAGATGCCCGTGGACCACATAGGAAGCACTCTGAGCAAAGATTTCAGTGATTCGACCTGTCCCACTGTACATTGGCTCCATGGATCTGAAACTGATCCATAAGGGTTTGAGAGAGTCTCAGGAGTTTTTTTTATGCAAGCTTTGTTCAAACACCTATAAGATAAGACAAGGTTAATTCACTCCCAAGATATATTGGAAAGTGTCAACAGGATTAAATCCCTGATTTATTTCTTGTTAATTTCCCTATAATTCTCTCCAATATTTACTTGAGCAGATTTGCACATATTTTCTCACAATTTTATTTCATTGACAGATTTTAATCGTCGTAAATTAATCATGCACTAGGTAAATTGAATAGCTAAAGTTTCTTTATATGACGAGGGCAAGTACAAGTACCTAAGGCTATCAGTAGGGACCACCAGATCTGAATCACGTTCTTGATAATACTGATCACAAGAATCAGGAAGACTAAGTTTTCTGTTCTTTATGGCCACCACAACTACTTGAACAAAAGTAGTGAGTAAGCTGTGACCTGGCTGTGCTTTAACATAGAACGGTGAACCAAGAATGAAACTGACAGCCGATATGAACATTAGCACAGCAGGTACTCCAAACCCAATTTTCCATCCAAGATTTTCTTGAATGTACACAATTACGCTCAAAGCAATCACAGTTGATATCGCAATTGAGGTATAATACCAATTAAAGTAGCTATCCAAGACTCTCTCATTATTAGATCCTTCTTTATTTGTCAGTTGATCTGCTCCAAATGCTATGGAACAAGGTCTGACACAACCAGCTCCAATGGAAATTAATCCCATGGAAAGGAACAAAACAGCTAGTTGGGCTGATGTGGCAGAGTTGCAGTCTAGCATGACTGATTCACAGGAAGGTCTTAGCTCTGGGGTCATGGCAGTTAACCACAAAATGGTTAAACCCTGTCAGAGAGAATAAATATCGTGACAGCATTATGAAAATAAATATCATAAGAATCATTTATATCATGTTTTCTAAAAACCATGTCCTACGAATTCTCCGGGCAAACAAAGCAATGAACCATTATCAAGCAGACTTTGAAAGAGTACACAAAACCAAGCCATGGCTGACAACTCTAGCCTACACCAAATAAAACAATTAAAAACAATAATTGTGTATTTCAGAGCACAACTTTTAAGTTGCTGTAAGTTCAGAGGGTATCATTTAAAAAGAAGATTATCTACTAGTAGATGCACTACTAAACAACATTACCAAGGCAAATGAGCAAACTAATCACGTCCACAAAGCTAACCAAACACACATGAACGATAGACTGAAGCCAATAAGGTATAGGTGATAATCCTAATATATGCACTGATCATTATTGCACATAATATTGCATCATTACACCTCAGTTAACTTGAGTGTCACATGTAGTTTGCAGCACACCCATGTCCTATTCAGCGAGGGAGCCAATAAGGTATAGGTGATAATCCTAATATATGCACTGATCATTATTGCACATATTATTGCATCATTATACCTCAGCTAACTTGAGTGTCACATGTCTTTTGCAGCACACCCATGTCCTATTCAGCAAGGGGGTCCGAGAAGTACATCGGAAGACAGGTTCCAGGAATCTACTAGAGGAGATTAGGTCTTGTAAGAGTGTCTTGGAAGAACATCAACTATAAGATATTTAGGTATCATGGATTGGATTAAGTTTTCTGAAGTAACTTTCTAAGCCATGGTTTACCCGTTTCTTTGAATCATGTTAACAGATAAAGCTGAAGTTAGGGATGATAATTAAACCTGTATCCGTAGGGACCGACCCGTCCCTATCCCGAGTTTGACAGAGAAAACCTGAGTTAACTGGGGGTGGATTTTCCCGCTTTAAAAAATCGGAGACGGGCGGGGATGGGTAATGCAATCCCTACCCCGATCCCGACTTTATATTTAAATTTTAAAATATTAATATTTTAAAAGTATTTCTTTTTCTCTGTTTCTATTATATATAAGATCATTTTTTTATATTTCACCATTTTTATTTTTCTTCTACCCACTCTTTAATTTTTTTATCTTTTATATCAATTAATTTATTACATTATTTTCTCTCTTACCTTTATGTTTTTTCACATTTCCTTAATCTTTCCCATCAATTTGTTTTTTTTTTATCTTTTCAACCAATTTGATGAACACAAAGTTATTTTTTTCTTCTTTATCTTTTTCTAAATATTTTACATAAATCTTAGTAATAACTAATATTATTTTATTTATAATTTATATTTATTAGGTTTTATTATGTCATAATTTTTTATCTTATTTTTCTTATTTATCATATATCAAATTTTATCTTAATAAAATAATTGTATTTTAAAATATTAAAAAGAATTGATAATTTAAACTTTTATTACTTCGAACTAATTAAATAAAAATTAATTTATTAAACATTTTTTTATAAACTATATATTCCATATTTTTAAATGATAACTTAAAAATGAATTAACTTATATATGTAATCAAATGTTTGAATACATTATTATAATAATAATAATAATAATAATAATAATGTTATAAGTATTCAAGTATTTGAATACGGTGTTATAATAATAATAATAATAATGTTATAAATATTATATATATATATATATAAATAAAAAATGATTAAATATTTCTTTTACATATATATTTTAATATAAATATAATAAATTAAAAAATATTTATTTAATTAATAATAATTATAAATTATAAAATTATAAATATTTATTTATATATAAAAAATACATAGTAAAATTAATTTATTATAAATGTAATTATCTTTTTAAAAGCAATATAGATCGAGGATGGGGCGGGGCAAGAAACCCGAAACCCAGCGGGAACGAAGATGAGGACTTAATTTCTAACATCGGCGGGAATCAAGAACGGGGACGGGAGAGATAGTTAAAAAAGTCGGGAGCGGAGATCGAGGAGGCAAAACCCGCCCGCACCCCCACCCCGTTGTCATGCCTAACTGAAGCAAAAAATTTGCATTCTTACAACACGTACCAGTAAGTCTCTTTTTTTTGGAAAAAAGGAATATAATTAGAAATATTTAGACTTTTTACTTCAATAATAATTACTAAAAATCATAAAGTAACTATCTAGAAATATTTAGACTTTTTATCAAAATTAAACTAAAATGTCTGGAAAATTCAAATTTCCAAATTTTCATGTTGTTTTGTGTAACTTTAGAAGTCTATAAATATTACTATTTATGATTAAAATTCTAAATTCATTTTTATACATTTTATATTTATAATAATATAAAAATGATTTCTCCCTTTTACAAAATTTAATTTATATACAGTCTCAATATCAACCAAATAAGACTTATGATATGACTTTTAAGGTTACTATAAAATTATAAAACTTACATCATATAACAATTTGTAAATGAATGAAATGTAAAAACTATTTATACTGTGAACGTCAATATTCAAGTTTTATAAAATTTGAAATCTAAAATTGAATCAATTTCAAAAGAAACAAGAATTCGGAATTAGGGATAAAATATAAATTAGGTATAGAATGTGAAAAACAAGGCCACAATGCTACAATGCTATTTGGATAGGTAAGCTATGAAAAATCAATCACTTAAAAGATAATTTAAATATAAGAACCGAAAGTAATTCATAAAAACCTACAGGAATTCTTTTAATAAAAAACAAATTTTCATTCACAACTGAGACAAAACTTGTTGCACAAGTTATTTAATAACGAGTACTTTCCTACATATTTAGGACTATAAGAACCATTTAACAAATTGGATCCATAATCCATCTAATAAGCCTAAAAGTCCTGATAACACACAAATAAAGGCAATTATAAAAAAGTCCAATACAATATTGAACAATTTATAATATACTATTTAACTCCAGCAAATCTCCTTTTAAGTCCTCTCTCTATTTATGAAGAAAAATTTAGAACAACTTTTGTCTTTTAAATGTAAGCAAAATAATGCTAATTTGATAAAGTAGCACATCAGACCTATTCTTTCAGAGAAATCATTACAAGACTCAGAACCATTTTGGTTTTCACTAATTTCAACTTAAAATTCGACTAAGTATTATTACTTTTATGTAAATAGATATATAAATTGGTTGTGATTATTATTTAAGCTATTATTTAGAGTATGCCACTTACAAATAGTGGCCACAGCTTCTCACTTCACATATCATGAAACACAGCAAAACCGCGACCACAACTGAAATTTAAAACACTACAACTGTAAAAACGGCTGCTCATCCAGCTTGGCCCTAGGGGTCAAGGAGACAAATTTGATGACCTAACTTATATTACATTTTAAAATGGTCAAAATTTTTAGTTTAACTTGATCTTATGTTAGATTAACGGATTATTTTTGGTCTGATTGAATTTTGTGTGAAGTATTAACATATTTATACCAGATCAATTAATTAAAAAAATATTTAAATAAAAGTAAAAAATAAAATATATTTTTAAAACTTAAATTATATTAGTGAAAATAGTTTTTATTTAAAATATAATTATTTAATAAATAAACTATAAGAAAATACATTTATTTAATTTCAAAATAAGAATTAAAAACTTATTCTTCTTTATCATTATTTATTTTTTAGTAATTTATTAATCTAAAATAATAATTAATTTTAATAAGTAGATTTTGAAATAAGTAATTATTAGATACTTACTCTTATGTTAATTCTTTAGAATGTTTATTTTTAGAATGTTTATTTTTTAGAATAAGTGAATTCTTTGTCAAGTTAATTTATAATAAGTATATATTTTATATTACTCTTATTTTTATTTAAAAAATTATTATTATTCTATTAAACCAACTGATCACTTGATCTAAGGTCTGATAGATTATGAACTAAATAGGTTTAATTTAATCTAGGTCATAATTTTTTTTCCTATCCTAATTTATTTTTCAAGTCTTCCAAATCAATCTATCAAATTATCAAATTAAGCCTATTTTGACAAAAGTAACCTCCCTTGCAATCATGATCATCATTATTCCTTTGTCTCAACCAATATTTATACAGCACACTTAAACTATTTACACTTAACTACGTGTCATGTAAGTATTAACAAGATCATAATTGTTAAAACTACCTAAATAATTTCTTAGATATCCAAGATAGAAAGAAAATAAGGTATGTACTAACATAGCAACTGACCATGTTTAGAGTTTGTTATAGAAACTTTTTCACTTTTTTTTTCTCACAAAAATGTTTACTGAGAATTTTTCCAAAAGTAATCAATTAGAAATTAAGATATAACAGAAAGCAATTACTAATTATTTATATTTTTGTTTAGCTAGACTTACAAGAAGGCTGGAGAAGGAACCGATGGAAATGACGAGGAATCGACCCAAGTAAGAATCGGAGAGAAAGGCCCCGAAGATGGACAAGATATCGGAGGTGGCAGACCAAGTGTGAATTACGCTAGTGCCCTTGGCAATCGGCATGCCGTAATCGTTCAGTAGGTACAGGATCATGTTGGGCATGATCCCATAGCTCGCCAGCTTCTCCAGAGACTCGTTCACTGATCCATTCCTCAATTAGAGTAAGCGAAACGACATCGTTTATTGATAAAGAGTGATTGAGTGAGTGAATGAGATCGTAATCAAAGAATATTGCACCGAGTGAGAAATACCTATGATGAAGGGCATGGTTCGCAAGCCACCCTTTCTGATGGAGGAAGAGGAAGGAGAAGATTGAGACGAAGTGCCATTTTCCAAGAGCTTCTGGTTTGCTGCACCAGAAGACTCCATTTCTTTGGTCTTCGTTTTGCAAGAGTCAATGATGCAAGAGATGAGGGGTGGTTTGTGACATTGGAGTTTATAAAAACATAAGAAAAAAAAAATTATCTCGCTTTCCTCGCGGATCTCGACGATAACTTTAAATATTATTTTCTAATTAGATTTTTTCAAGTCACCTCGTATATGTTACTTGAACAATTTATTTTATAAATTGTCAATTTTTTCGTATATGTATTTTATAAAATCCAGATATTGTGTGCATGTTTCGCATGTTCTTTCTACGTCAGTTACTTGTAACCGTGATGTCGTATTATCCTATTTGACTTTTATTTTTTTAATTATTTGGAAATATCCTTGCACAAAGGGTTCATTTTCTGTATCAGTAACTATTGATCCTATTCTCTTTCAGTTTTTTGTTATTGCAATGTTTTTTGGCAAATGAATTTTTGGGGGGATTGTTCTTCAGTACAAATTTCACTCTTTATTCAAGAATAAATTTAAGTCATAATTTCTAACATATGACTAACACTGTTCTTGAAGAAGAATAACTCTAGATTAGTGATCGACTCAGGATTCATTCTAAAGTTTATGTTAATTTTCAGTTGGCTTCAAATAATTCTGATCCGCTGGAATAAAATGAGCATCCAGAAACACCCAGACAAAAGAACAGTTCCAAACATATCCAACAATTTGTTCATTATTTACTCACAGTCAAGCGATTCTAACATTTAAGCAATGAAGTTCCATCCTGGCCATAAATTTTAGTGAAAAATCATAAAAAAGAAAGTGCTAATGTTAAATAATTGATTGAAATGGTTAAATATTTAAACATACTATACATGTTCAGGGGAAGATAAGAATTCCTAAGGTACTTGAATATAAGCTTGGATCAACTGCTATTTTCCACCGTGACTGCAGCATCATTCTCACCGGTGTTAGCCTTTTTCGGGGTAGATCGACGGCGTATTTTCAGGTACCCAAATTTTCCGGCACCTGGTGATGAACCCTCAAAAATAAAGGGCAAATAACCAGTAGCTTTCTTGTACCTCTGCTGAACCTGCACCAAAATTTGTTGTGAGGTTCAAACTGTTAGTATTTCATCAAGTCTCACTAAGACTAGAAAAGAATGCTTCTTTCCTCATGAAGAAAATTGATGGAAATTTTTTTTATAGTAATTCAATTAAAATGGATTACAAATATTTATAAGAAACTAATCATATTAAAAAAATGTTTGTTTGACTAAACTTCTTTATTAATATTTATAAATAAATATAAAAAAAAATGAAATAAGTTTACACATAAGCTAATTAGCTTCTAGAAATAAGTTAATATAAGTTAAAAATCAAATTTTTAAAGAGTATAATTAAGTTTATACATAAATTAATTTTTATAAAAAAAAATATTTCATTTTCCTTCTTATTTAATCCAAAGATATTTTTTCCTTCCATCACAAGAGATATTCAGTATTTGTTAGTTATATAATACTGTGTTAAATTCATAATAAAATAAATACCTCAAAAATGTGTTCACTGCTCTTGAGACAGTTTCTACCAATTACACAAACTGTTCCTCCTGAACCACCACCTGTTATCTTGGCTCCATATAAAGTCCCACCTTCAGATTTAGATTCTGCACTGTGCTGCAACTCTTGCACCAAGTGTACTAGCCTATCTGTGCCATCAGAACCAAGTCCACAAGCACTGTAGCTATAGTGGCACTGCAAAAAGATACTTAAAACTCAATTATTTTTCCTCTTTTTATAGTTTGGTATTCTTCAATTCCAATACAACAGTTAATATTCAAAAGGGGGACAAGAAAGCACTATCAAAAAAGTAATAAGCCTGTTAATTTGCATGTTAACCCAATTAACAGTAAATAATATAGACATCCAACTACCCGTTCTAGTCTTCCTGTTCTGTACAACATGTTAACAGAAAGTGAATACTTTGTTATGGCCAAGACAATTATTCAGAATATGCAAAAATTCTTTGAAATACTTAAAATAGGAACCAATGTGTTCACCCAAAATAATTATTTGTTTCATTATAACTTAAAAAATGTACAAACATTAGGATAGTAAGTTGACCAACTGAAGCTGTAGATGTACCTGATATAGCAATTCTCCTAAGGATGTAAGCTGATAGGTTGAAGATGTAGAGGATAAAAGTGCTTTGAAGGTCTACACACAATACGATAGAGGAGAAATAATTAAAATTTCAAATAATTATAACAGGGAACATGTTATATAATTGCTTCATGATACCGGGTAAAAAGTTAATGTGAATGAAAAAAATGTTCCTTAAGAGTCATCGTCTCTTATAGAATTTGGATTCCGTTTGACAAGTCATTCAAATGGACCATCTTATGAACTACCAAATGTAAGTTATCTACCAAATATACATGACTGAGTTATAGAATCTTATACACTTACTACATGACTTTTTCAAAAGAAATAGACAAATTTTCTAGTATAAAATTACCACAGCATAGTTTTATTTTTACGCAATAATTGGGGAAAAGAATGCAACAACTAGGACAAATCATCAGTTACTTATAACCAATTCAATGCTTTAACAAAGTCCTAACCTGGACTCGGAAATTTTCATAGATTGGATGCATTGTGGGAGCTTTAACTCCGTAAGTTCGATTCTGATCAATAACAGTAACAGGATCATTATGATTTTTATGTTGCTCCAAAAATGTCTCACCAACAATGGTCTGGGGAAGAGACTTAGCATAAAGGGCCTCAAATCTGAAACCAAAAATGAATAATCATTAACTTCAAGATTTTAAGGAGTACTGATATCTGAAAGGGCAAGTTGATGAAGAAATTGAAGATTCATGTAAAGCATCATATGATAATAATGATCCAATTAAACAGATAACGAGACCAATTTATCTCAATCCTAAGAAGCCATTGCATAAGCAATCAAAGGGAGCTGATTTTTTATGTAATCGAGTAGCTCTATATGCATATTTAATTTATCTGGCATAATAATTCAGTCATGACAACCTATTTTTACTAAAGGAGAAAAAGGATTTACCTATGAGGTGGCAAATTACATAAGTAATCTAAGGAGGCTTCTTGTTTAAGTAGTTCTAGATCATCTTGTTCCACTTCATCATAGTTCAACCCATTAGCTGCACAACTCTGAGACAATTCCTCAGAAGCCTTGGCCTTTAACATCTTCATACCCATAAAGGTGCCAATTCTAACAGAACCATAGTCTGCACCTCCGACGCTGAAATAGACAGCACTTATGAAGTTATGATAGATAGTTCATGAACATATTGAAGATAGAACAAGGAGAACTGGAACAGGATATTCTTGGTAGAGCATAGAATTATGCAAAAAGCTTAAGAAGTTGTTAAGGCTCATAAATTATTCCTATATATCAGTGGAATACGTTCATAATCATAAGATCAAGGATAAAACAGCACTAACATGTCTTACAAGTTGCGTACAAACTTCTGCTATATACACATACCACAATTTGGAAAACATTCGATAAAAAATGTATATCAGATAAAAAAATTGTACAAACACAAAATAGAGCCAAATCGTACATAAACATTGCAGAAAGTCTATTTTGAAATGATGCCAGAAACAAATATAAATGAATAATTTTGAACAGAAGCATATGGCAGTAAGAGAGAAAACTAAAGAATTGGATGACATCTTTTTCATCCTGGGTCAATAGGTTCACACAACATTACATTCTGAAACAAAACTATGACTCAAGATCTTCGAGTTATGAAATGCACAAAATAATGATAATAGTCTTCATAAGTTATCAGGTCCCTGATTTAAGGTTAATTCCTTAATTAATTGATATGAGCTGTAGCTCAGGGTTGAATTTTGTTAATATCATTAGGCTTGATCAACAACAAACTCATCTTAGGTGGATGTACATTAGTAACTGATAGACCCATAGTGAAAGTATATAAAAGGAGAATGAAAAGAAGGGGTGGGGAAATAGAAGGGATTGGGCCTCAGACACAAGACCTGCGTGTGTATAGAGAAGAAAGAATCAAGTGGTCCATGTGTCAAGAGCTGAAGTGGAAAAGAAAGAGAAGTAACGATGGGCATCACAAATCGAGCAAAACTCTCATTTTTATTTTTAAAAAATGGTCTGACCAAAGCGTGTTAAAGTCTAACTTCGATTGCAGACTCATAAAATGTAGAAAAGTGAAATTATTAAATACTGGAAACCCGAACTGATGGCCACAGCAGAAAAAGATGTATGCAGGAAATTTAATGACAGACCACCAACCTGTGTCTTATTCCAGAATCAATTCCCCAGACACGGATATGGCTGGGAATGTCAACAAGACCAACAATTTCTGCAGGCTGCATCAATAAAGAGCAGTACCATGATACAGTGTCTAAAGAATAAGAAAATATTTAGATGACTTCTAATGATGCACACCTGGCATATCATAGCCAGAAGTTTGTTGGCTTCACCACATGCTGAAGCCATCTGGTCCATGACACCACAAGGAGCTCCTACAATGTGGTTTTCCACCTGATGAAAATTTTAAGAAATCGATTGAAATTACATCTAGGGGACAATGCATGCTAAAGATAAAATATCAAATCATATGAAATCAATACGGATTGTAGCACTGCATAAAGTCCAACCTTCTGGCATAGTATGGCCAGTTCCCTTGGGCTGATATTTAAACCTGAGTTACAAAGATAGAAATTAATTTAATCAAATGACCAAATTTGTATCTATTTAAGCATTCAGTAAACACCAAAACAATATCAATATCAGAAAGAAGAGTTTGTGTTCTTTTCAATATAAGAGAATCAACATCGATAAAAGAGATCTCCTTTGTGAAACAAATTCGCCTAGAAGAAGATTGATTTTACTCAATGAGAAGAAACAATAAAATGTCCACAATTAATGGAAGAGTTGACATTTTAGTTGTTAAAAAATTTAACATAAATGAAGCATAATTACCATGAGCGGCTGCAATAGCAGACATACTAGCAACCTCCACTGAGGCAGAAGATGATACGCCTTTCCCTTCTGGAACTGCAGATGAAACCTACATATTGGTTTACAATGTAGACATCTTAGAATAAAAAAATATGGAGATGGAGAAAGTGGCACAATTATAGGCCAGGACAATTGTTTCAACATGGCACTGAAGGAGGCAAGATACTTCCATTCCATCAAGAAATTTTGAATGTGAAACTCATTGGCAATTATGTTATGAATACCCATGGGAAATTCTCTAAGCGTTCAGTAAGATATTTTGTTGTTAGCTAAAATGAATAATCAGTGACACAGGTCGAGACCAGGAGGTACCAGCATGCTTATACTATCTTCAAATTGAACACCCAATTCAGTCATTAAGACCAAAATTGCCCCTGCTACATATGCTGCCCACCTGTGATAGTTAATAATTTTAGTCCGATGGAATGCAAGACATGCTTTATTCATATAATAAAATCATGCACAAGTGCTACCTACTTTTGGGAAGGATCTCGAGCAAAGTATTTCTTTGCTTTCTCATATGAGATTGGTTTGCCTTCTTCCACAAAATCAGATAAATCCATGTCAAATGTCGGGCCACGATTGCTCAATTCTGATCCATATGATACCTGACATGATCCAGATTCATTGAGAACACACAGTTAGAAAGTCCTATTATAGCTAAAATGCAAGGACACGAAGATATCCAGATAATGGTTGTAGTTTTATCATCAGAGTGATTCACTTCTCACGCTTAATTGTTACACAAACTCCAGTCATTAGTTGTCAATGTTAACTAATAGTATATAGAAACCTCCACATGTTATCCAACATACGATTTGCAAGACAGCAGTTGGATTTCCCCCTTTGTCATTCTGTCGAGCCTCAGCATGTTTCCACAGCCTATGTTTACTTGGATGGATTCTTTGCAAAGCTACATGACAGGCTTCTTTAATTGGCATCTAGAGAAGAGTAAACAGAAAGAGAAGAAAAAAGGCCTTAGTGAGTAGTTGTTTTCATGATAACTGTCAGTTCTGTAACATTATCAGACTATACAATTGTATAGAAACATGTCACTCAATGTTTAGCACTGTACATCTCAGTGATATTTCTAGCGATATAAAAGTTACAAGTCTCCACGTAGAAACTTAGACTTCTAACATGATTGGAACTTGACATATAAGTAATAGTACTATAGTAGTAGAAGTAGAAGAAGTGCGTGTAATACAGTAGTACATATGCAGTAGACATACATACAAATACTAATTACAATCAACTACCGCTACTATTACAACAAATGGCAGTCTCTTGAATTCTTATTATTCTACATTTTCATCATTTTCTTGAAGGTGGGATAAAAATTGACCTTAGCTGCTGATTATTCCATGTGCGGATGCATAATATAACCTATCCTCAATGTTATGTGTGTATTCCTTTTTCAGGACATCCGTGTTTGCTTTTAACTGATATTATCATCAAACAGATTCTCTTTCTTATGTAACAACTAGAGAACATCCATTTTAGTAAGAATGTACAAGAAAGCAGCTCACTTTAGTCCGTTGTCAACCAATGTATATGTTTCCCTGGAAATGTTGCTCACTAGTTTCAGTACATACTCAGTAAGGTCCACCATTCCATTTGATATATACAGACTTCTCATTTAGTTTTATCAGCAATATAAAATGATAATAGTTTCTATTTTGAGTCTGATTAGATAAGATACATCTAACAATAACATATCCTGAAACCTAGAAGTACTTTCATCAAACTAACAAATACCTGAACCCATTTTAATTATTTTTTAAAGGAGTAGAAACTAGAAACATAGCATATTCATCGACTGCATGTATTAGTTGGATTAACTAAAACAAAAATTTAGAGCATCAAGTCTATAATAATGTATTATCATAAAGATTAAAGAATGTGAGAAAGTTAACAGTTGAAACTAAATGTACCGAACATTAAATCATTGGGAGATCAATTCAACCTGTAGGACAAGACTTCCAGAATAGTCAGCAATACCACCCATAACATCTAACCTTCCAGGAGCTCTCGTCACAAAAATGTCCTCCTGTCACAAGAATAGAACAATGTCAAAAAAGTGAAAGAACAATCAGCAACGGAACAAGTATTTGAATTTAATAGATAATGAAGTGTAGTGTCATGGTAATGCGACAGTGTTTCAATCATTAAAATGATTGCTTGTATGCATTGAGAGCTCTTAGTCCAGAAGAAAGAATTTCATAAAGGATTGACCACACAAAATGATTAACACCTGCCAGTTGAAGAGACTGGCTGCAGCCTTACGCTCCCGCCTTGTGTGCTTCTCCTGTAATTCAGATAGGCTATGTAAGAATGCCACGGTGTCTGAGAGTCCTTGAACATCTCCATAAAGAATGTCAAAGTTTTCAACGTCCCTGCAGAAAGAATATAAGGAAACAAAAAGGAGGCAATTATATTTTCATTTATTAGGAAACAACCAAGAAAATTATACCCCTGAAAAAGTGAAGTGATACTCACGGGCTTAATGCAGAGCTTCCATCATCCACAGGGGAACTAGGTGTTGAGTGCCCAAGTTGGTTTTCAGCAGTTGCATACCATTCTGGGATAGTAATATCTCGGCCAGAGGCCCTTTGGAGTTGATACCCAAGGACTATTGCATCACGCAACCTTCTAGCCCCACTAAGCTGGATATTATTAAGTCAAAATTGAGATGAAAATTCAAAATTTATCACTTTCACTTATTTTCATGAAGTTAGCCAAAGCTGGAAAAATTTAACTAAAGCCAATACTGCAAAAGATTGCACTCAGAAGTTGTTTACCTTATCTGATGCATAATTTTTTCCCAAAGCAGTCTCCTGCAGGATGTGAGCTGCCACCTACATTTTCAAATATTTTATGAAAAAAATAATCACTTCTTTCGGAATAATTAAAAAGATCAATGATGACATGGAACTACATGATCTACGTGGGGAAAGAAGCAAACTAGAAAAATTTAAATATCGGATACACAAATTAGTAGAAGATTATACTTATAGATTTCACATCAACTATGACAAAATTATAATATATAAATAGGTGCAAATCAAGCTAGTTTTGTAAGTTTAAGTTACGCTTAAAATCCACTTTCTAATATGGTATTGAAGTCTATCGTAGCAGTATTTGTTGGACTTATTGTGTCACCCGCTATCAAACCACCCACAAATATCTAATCTCATGCTCAAGTTGTGCAATCTTCTGCATAAGAGGGTGCACTATGTTAGAGATATAACCAAATTATAGTAAGTGGGTACAAACCTCACCTTTTGGTCAATTTTATGAGATTGAATTAGGCTTAAGATTCACTTTCTACTAATTACCATCAAATAAAAAGATAAAAATTATAGTATTTTAGTTAAATTACAAAATAGATAATGATGTTGAAAAATTCATCCCAAGTATTAAAATTACTAGCAACGACAATGCTAGGTTAAATATTACTAGTGTCATTATTGTAAATGACTTATTAGATAAAATCAGAAAAGTGATAGATTACAAGAATTTTAATTGGAAATTCTAGTGGGGGTTGTTACAAAGGAGGCCCAAAGAATTAGCCTAATATTTTATAGGGTACAACTCGGATCAAAACTGCATGGTTTAGCCCATTTTGGCTCAGATTTCCTTCGAATCTCCGTTGCACACTTTCTTTGCTCACTTGGGTTTTTTTGCCTTGGCAAAACTATGTTAATATTACCCTGTAAATCATGTTTTTCCGTTGAAACAGTTTTAATTCATTATTCAGACACTTTGTGGTCATGAGATAACAAATAAGAAAGGTTAGAATTTTCTATCATTCCCAAAATATATTTTAGACAAATTATCTTGATTCTTATTCACTATATTTCTTCAACATGAGTCCATACCCTACTTCTGTCATTGACCAGCCATTCCTTTATGCCACACCAATTCTCAATAGTTAAATATAATTTTAAGTTTACAAGTCACATAAATATATAAAGTTACACAAAGTAGTAGTTTTTGAAGTTGATTAGTAAAAGGAAAGAGAGTAGTACCTCACCACCATTAATGCCTGCTTCATAGCAGGGTTTCAAACTTATTGCACGTTCAAGATAAGGTCTCCAATGACCAGTCAGTAAATCCCTCCTAATCATTTCAACACCACATTGAGATTGCTAAAAAACAAAGATAATCACTTGTAAGGCTCTCAAAACAAATAACACTGAAAAAAAAAAACAAAGAGAAAATCAATAGAGAGAGTACCTCAAGCATATTTCTCAAAAAAGGTTCTTCATTGAAATAATCTCTGCGTACAAAGACAAAAGGACACTTGTATGCCAAGGCCTCGCTAACAGTGCCATATCCAATTTTCCCTACAATAGCAAACAGCAATTAGCAACTCTTTAATTTAGTTCAGATTTTTGAGTCGTAACTACACTTGCTTCATACTGACCAAGCATACAGTCAGATGCTGCAATAATATCAGGTGTATACGCATCTCTAGCAAGTTTTATGAAGTTAGGTGGAAGGTCATCACTCTTAGAAGCCCCACAAACCTGGATCATAGAAGTAAGACATCAGCAAATAATGCACAAGTACAAAAATGAACATTTTAAATGAGACGACGATACATAGGAGACTGGTTGAAGAAGTACCAGGCACAACCAGCCAGGTGGTAAGAATTCCTCCTTTAGCTTCAATCCTGATGGCTGGAGACAAGACATAATAGAGGCAGAAATCAGATGAAATGGAAGTGACTCTGTTTCAAATCATTAGTAGAGTTCCATGGCCAAAAATCCAGAAAAAGTGTAAAACTTAGAAGTATATGGTCAATAGATGACCATAAAACAATAACAAAATAATATTGACAACAAAAGTTCCTGCAAAATATCTTTATAGGAACTGTAGACTTTATTATGAATTTGTCTGACTGTTAGAAATGATAATTAGAACAACATATGATAATTATATGCACTGCCGATTTTATAGAATACGAAGGAGTACACACAATCATACCAAGAACATTATTAATTACAAGAGGAAATAATCAGCACATGTATTTTTATCACTTAAATAAGTGACAGAGTGATACATAATACTAATTATTATACAATTGCTTTAAATCAGTCAATTTCATCAAGTTGTTAGTAGAGTTAGTTCTCAGCTAAGTATTAAAGCCTGTATATGACCGTATAGTATAACATAACAGCAGATTCATAATCATGAGATTTTAATTGAAACTTTTGTATTATGGCGAAATGAGGGTGATAGGAGAAAGTAATTGCAGAAAAGCTGAAAGAATGAAAATAGAAATGAGGGCATCTCATAGTTTGGCCTTTGAATCCTAAGATGGGATTATTAACCATCCCAAACAACCAAAATATACCATTACAAAATTGCAGCGTTGCACAATTCAAGAACATATACAACAAAATAACAAGAAAGTTCAAAGACAGAGATTGCAAGCATTTTTTACAAGCCATCCCAAACAAAAAAAAAAATCAAGGTTTGGTCCTTAAAAGAGGAACTCTAGATAATCACCTGCCCACCAAAGTTGAGAATAACTAGCTTCACGTCATCAGTTACCCCAAGTTCCTTCCTCACCTTCAACGAGAAAAATCACAAGCTCAGATTAAGAGATAAATCATGCTATCAAGTAGATTCAGCGAGCTTTGTGAGGTAGTACCTCTTTTGAAGATTTGTGCAATCTCCTCACAACGAGAGGGACGTCAATAATATCACGAAAAGCAGGCACTGCAAAAATTGGAGATGTCAAATTCTATTTAATCATTCCCACTAGATCTAAGTGGACATTCAAATAATATTAAGTTATTGCCATGAAATTATATAAATATTGACTTACTTGGGCAATATCCTGGGAGGCGGATAAGGAACTCACAATGGGAATAGTCCTCCGCTATCTACAGCAGTGTAAATGCGACTACATGTATTTATCATGTTTCAAGCACAAAGCATAACAAGTGGAAAAGGACAAAAATAAGGGCATAATTTCAAATTTAAAAGTTTTAATTCCATTAAGCCTATTCTTATGCTCATAATTATAGTTAGAAGCAAACTAGGCCATATTTGTAGCCAGTGCAGGGCATACCAACTATCACTCTAGCTTTACAAACTAAGAACATAGATGACACCCAATTATTCTAATTACTTTCAGGTTTGTTTGAAAATTTCAAATTTTGATCAAGGCAGAGTAGAAAATGATTTTACAAACTAAATTATGAAAGATATTTACTAATTACTAATGCATTCAAGAAATGTGGAGGAAATGCAAAAAGGAAGCATCAATTTATTTGTGAATTCTTTCATGGCTCTTCTTCAATCTTGATAGCTGAGAAACACTAAAAAGCAATAAGTAATATTAAATATATGCACAAGTTTTATACAATTGACTAAATGCTGAGCACAAAAATTCCAAAATCTTGGACAAATCAGACAATCAACAAACAAATGAAACATGATAATTTGCTATATAAAGAAGATGTTGTCACCTGCCAAACTATTGAACGATGATGAAGTCCAGCAGCCATGACATACTCTGCATATATGAAGTCCCAACTGAAATCACATAGACATGGAACGGGAGTAATTAGGGATTCTGGAGAAAAACAATCACTCTTGGACATCCATATACATTTAAAGTTTTGATTGCCACAGTAAGACTACTTAAGCCAATGAAGTAGAAAGTATATTCATATCCCCATTAGCAACTTAAAATTGAGGCCTGGCATGCAGTTGCAAGAATGAAATGATGAAATACCTTAAACTGGGATAACTGGATACATAAAATTCATGAAAATATATTTGTCAGCTAAATATTCTATGACATCATTGGCAAACAGCTCATGTGGTTCCTACGTATTATGGCCCCCTCTTAATCAATTACAATAAGAAACAAGGATAATGGCAGTCTACATAAGTTACCTGAAATTGGTCACACAAATAGAACGAATGCCAGCATCTGCTGCTGCTCGGCAAGCAACTGGGACAACATCGGAGACCTGTTTTCTTGTATTAGCTTTACAATGATCCACCAAGTATATAACAAAGAAGCTTTTATTTTTGTGGGAAAAACAATAATTTTCTTTTAAAAATATTTAACTTTTTGGAGAGAAAAGTGCAGAATGTGAAAATAATCAGATTAGATTCTTTTAGAAGATAACAGGAATAGATTTCTGAAATAATCAATTGTGATAAACAAGAGAAAAAGTTGTGAGAAACAAAGGAAAATGTTTTCAGGCAAAAGGAATGTTACTGGATTTTATAATTTACAAGCCCTATTTATACTATTTTTGGAGAGATGCTTAGTAATGTTTTCAGAAAAAAGGTATTTTTACACAGACAAACCCAAACAAAATATTTGTTATGATTATAATCAAATGCAAAATTACTTCTGTTACATAAAATCTCTATCGAACAATCAAATATTTATCATCCTTGTAAACACCTTTTCAAAAACCTAAACTAATGTATCAAAAATTATTCTAAGCACTATGAATTAGTTATCAGTTTCCCCTTTCACTTTTGTTTGGGAAGGACATATCATGTACCACTAAGTCAGCTTTGACAGAGTTCAGCCACTCAGATTCTTGAGCCAAGATTTGCACTCGGGGCTTCACTGCTGTTTCAGAATACTAACATAGCCACAAACAAAACACGGGATAAGCAACAGAAAGAAACATTTAAGGCATCTAATTCAAAGCACAACAAATATAAACAATACAAAGCCAAAGGCATTGCCATACCTTTGCCAAAGAGGCAAGGCGATCAACTGTCAACGCATCTGCCTGAACAGCTCCACAGTCCAAAAGCACCTACTTTACACAGACAGATAAACGATCATGAACTTTAAAAGCAGTCTCTTTAAAGCATTGTACTTGTATACACAATGAAAATTCTCAAACAGTTCCATGTGATCCCCGTTCTCATCTGTCCCAATTGGGATCATCATGACACAATTAAAAGCAAATCCATTGAAGAACATGCAAAAAACCTTAATCAATTTTTTTATTATTATTGCACAGAACTAAAGCTACCCTTTTTCATCAAAATCATAAATCTTTCACAATCTACACGGATAGGCTACAATCCACACGTTCTACAATTACATTTCGCTGTTATTTCTTCCTTAACAACCATATCAGATATTAACTAGATTATGAACCCCTCCCCTTCCGGATAACAAAGAGACTTTAAAGGTAAGAAAAATAGATAAATAAACAAACTCACTCTGCGAATGAATAAGCGAGGAGACTGTATTTCAGTGGTGAAAACGAAATCAGGAGCACCAGTGACCACGTGCACATCATGGCCCGCATGAATCAAATGCCGCACCACCTAGCATTCAATCCAATTCAAAATTCACTCATCATAACAAAACCAAAAAGAAAAAAACGATCCCCGCAAAACAGAGACACTAAGGAAAAATCAAACTTTTTTATTTTATACCAGATTATTAAGGCCAACACTAAAAACCCAGAAACAAAAAAACAATTTTAAGAATGAGTGATCAAGCACCCATTCAAAAAAGGAGGTGACTTGATATAAAGAGAGACCTCGGTGACTCGAGTGGCATGGCCAAAACCATGGCCTGTGACGTAATACGCAAAGACTAGGTGCTTGGTGGAAGCGGAGACTCCATCACTCTCTTGCTCGATCCTCATTTTGCAGTGATTCAACTTCTTTCAAAGTCTCCAACACGAGAATGCTATTATACTGTTGTGTTTCAGATGATAAGTTTCAACATTTGTATATTCACGTATTATCCACGGATGAAGAATGAATCATTAATTAATTGGTTATACATGTATTAATTACTTTTTCTATTATTTATTATTTATTTATTTCATTCAACTTAATCATTTTAGTAATAAAAATTTCAATTGAATAATTTCATTTTAAAATTGAACAATATTTTTATAAAATTAAATCAAAATTCTCTTAATTTTAAAAATATGATAATGTGAGGTTATTAATTTTTAAAATTGTAGCATGTATTAACTATAAATTTTATTATAAGTAAATTAAAATATTTAATATTTATTTATTACAAATTTTAATATTAATTGAATAAAATCACATATTCTTAAGTTTCTAAAAAATTAGGTATTTAATTAATTCTTTATTAAAAATTAAATTTAAACTAAATTAAATAAAGTTTAACATAATATTTTTTTCAAGTAATTATATAAAATAATATTAAATAAGTTAAAATCTGATTATATACAAAAATTTTAAATATGAAAAAAAAAATTGAATCAATAAGAAAATAGTCACCTTCTCTCCAATAACAAACTATAATACCTTTTAATTAATTATTTTGAAAATCTAAAAACTATTTCAGTGACTTATTTTACTCTATCTTTATCAGAATAACTGACTATGCTGCAACAGAAAACTAATGTCATAATAAAACAGAGAATAAGAGTTTTTAAACAGATAAAACAGTATATAATCATATCGTTTTATTTATACTTATATATTTTTTTAAATTACATATTTAAAAACTATTCAAACAAATTATATATATATTTTTTTATTGAACTGTATTTTATTTATATTATTTATTTTAGTTTTATCTTTAAAATATATCTATTAATTATAAATTATAAATTATTATTAATTTCGACTCATAAATTATAAAGGGTAGGAGACATATAAATTATCAGAACAAATTATATTATTTAACAAAAAAAATATTTCTTTAGTCATAATTATTTAAGAAAAAATAATTTATTTTTTCTTTATTTTTATTAAAGAAAGCATTGCATTGTAGCATAGAGTATTATATCATAATATAACTTTTATATCAGATAAAAAATAGTTATATATACAGATTATAGAAACTAAAATACTTATATATTTGGTAGGAAAAAGATGAAGATGATGACGTTGGAGAGGATATGGGTAGGAGGGAGGCGTGAGAAGAGGGAGTTGAGTTGCGTCCCAACTTTGTTCAAGAATTATGTTGTTGTGGGGATATCATATCACTTCCACTTTAGTGTTTGTTTGTTTTGTTTTCTTTATCATTCATGTTCCAGAGTCAATGTTGAGTTATTAAATGTTTGTTTTTTGTGTGTTACTGTGTGTCTCTGTTTTTCTTTCATACGACAATGCCCTTTTAACAACATGTACTGTCCTGGAGAGAAATAAGTCCATTACGAAAAAGAATAAAAGACAATTCTCAGAGGCATTCTAAAAGATAAAAAGATCATTATTTTTGCTTTAAGATGTACTTCTATCATGTCTTGTTTGTACTTGCTATTTATTATATTTTATGTTTATTATTAAAATATTATTAGGATTTATTGTTATATTTAAAATATTATCCACCTTACAATTTTAATAGATTATAATTTAATTTTCAAAAGACGTGAGAAAAAAAAACATACTTCGACTGGTAATACTAGATTTATGAGATATGGGAACAAATTTTTTTAGCATCGTTATTTAATGTACTCACTAACCAATTTTTATTTATTTTTTTACTTTTATATATAGATCATTTTTAAACTTCTTGATTCGTTAATTTTATTATATGTATAACACCAATTAAAAATATCGATAATGGTTTAGGATAACGTAAAAATAGATCTATTCCAATAAATCAATTCAATACATCCGAAAAATAGATGATAAATTAAAATATTTGTAATTTAAGTTAAATTATAATTATTTTAACTTACCTATTTTTATTATAAAAAATCTAGGTTAAGTTAATCCATAGATTTATGGGTTAATATGTATTATACAATAATAAATATTTTTAAAATAAAGATAAAAATAATATTATTTATATATATATATATATATATATTATAAATTAATTTAATAAATAAATTTACTTATTCTAAAAATAAATATTAAAATAAATCTAATAATATTTATTTTAAGATTAAAATTAATTATTATTTTAAATTAATAAGTTACTTAAAAAAGGAATAATAACAAAAAAATAAATTTTTATTTTTTATTTTAATATTAAATGGATACATTATTTTATAATTTATATATTAAATAATTATATCTTAAATAAAAATTGATTTAATTAATATAATTTAAATTTAAAAAATATATTTTTATTTATATATATTTTTAATTAATTAAGTTAGTATATATATATTAATATTTTTATTAAGAAAAACAATAATACCAAAATTGATATATTAACTTGTTATATATTAGGTTTAAAATTTTATCTCATTTTAAAATATAAATTAGATTAAATTGAATAATCTCAGAATATTAGACTGAATAGTCTATTTTAAAAGTTATATAATTAAGTGCAACATTAAAATTTTAACCCTTTGATTTTGAAGACGGGTAAAGCTTTAGATAATTAATTTATTGTAGGTAAGGGAATACAAAATCAAATTCGGAAAATAAGAAAAAGCAATTTAAAATACTGAAAAATGATCAAAATTATTTTTTTTAATTTTTTAATCTATATTTTCCTAAAATACATTATTTAGTTTAGATTTTAGATAAAATAAAATATGAAACAAACCAAATTAAATTACTATTATATTTAAAAATAATATTATATATTTATAATTAATTATCAACTAAGAACCGTACGTCATATGTTTATTAAAAATAGTTTTATATTAATTGTATTTCATTTATAATATATTTATTTTTATCAAAATATAATAACAAGATTGTATTATCATTTTTAATCAGAAAATTATGTAACTAATTTTGTAAACATGAGAAAAAAATCATGAATACAATAATCACTATAAAAAAAATTCACAAAATATTTTTCTATGAGATATTATTTTTATTAAAAAAAATTTTTTTTTGTTATAAAATTTTGAATACTTCTTAATATATATTTTAAAATATTTACAACTTTTATAATAATAAAACTTTTAAAAATTATATAAACTAAAGAAAAAAATATTTATATTTTATTAAGATGATAAAATAGATTAAGTACGATATACTGGTCCATTAGTCTATTCAAAAAATAATAGATTGGAGTGATAGTTTCAGTCTATTAATATATTTTTGTCAATTTGGTATAGTCTGTGTCAACAAGAGCGAAACAGGATAGATTGACTAGTAAATTTATTTTAAAAAATATTTATATATTTAAATAAAAATAAAAATAAATATAATTAAAAATATTATTTTTCAGGTGATTAAAATATATAAATATAATAAATTAAAAATTATTTATATAATTAAAGATGTATTTTTTTTAAATATATATAAAAAATATTAATAGATTAATTTTTTATGAGATGAGTTAAGGTCTATTTTTGCAAATTAAACATACAAAATGAGGTAAAATACGGTTCATTTTATATTTTTACTTTTTATTATGTTAAAATAAGATTTTAAAAAAATCATGAATGGTTGCATTAAAGATGAGATTTTGGATAAAGAATGGTTGTTTTGGATTTGGATTAAAGTAATCCTCACGAAATTCAGTTTATCATTTAGAAAAGATTAAAACAATATAATTCAGATCACAAAAAACGTAACCTAATGTGTTGATAAAAAAATTTGAAACGAAGTAAAAAATGATTTTTTAACATGCACGCCCACAAAGCAAATTTAACACCAAATTGATACCCAATAAGTTATCTTAGAGAAAATAAGTGGACTTCAAGAAAAGAAATAAAGAGGTTAGTAAAGGTTACTAAACCTTATTTAAGAATAATGGCAAAAAATAAAGATAAGTACATTTTGTATTAATAAATAATATAAATATCTTGAATCTCATTATGTATAACAGAAACATCTAACTACGGTGGAATATTTAGAAAAAAAATGTGTATATATATATATATATATATATATAATTTTCTTATATGTAGGTTAAATGCTAATCTCAAAATGCAGATAGTTTGCAACTCTCCCACAAATATATTCTTTATTTTTTTTTAAATTAATTTATTTTAAAAAGTTTATATTTAAAATTTGATTTTGAAATTTCAAAATATATTAATTATTTTATTAGTAATTGTACCTTAACTTTTCACATGTTATTTAATTAATTTAAATATATAGAGCTAAAATTTTTAAAATATAATTTATTAATTTATAATATTATAAAATTATTTTAAATATGTTATTTTTTAAAATAATTAAAGATATATTTATTTATTTAATAAATAAATTTTAATTTTTTTAAAAATTATTAATAATAAATAAAGTTAACTTATCTTTTAAAGTAAGAAATAAATATATAACTATTAAATATTCAGTGTTAGTAAGAAAATAAAATAAAAATATTATATAGTTGATGCAATAAAGTAAGAAAAGGAAGATAAATAAAATAAGAGAGAAAAGAAAGAAAACAAAAAATATATATAAACACAAGTTTTGTGTATTATTTACAGTTATTTTTAACTAAGGATAATATATATATATATATAGTCTTATTAATTTTATTTTATAATTATAATTATTGTCTCTAATTTTATTTTCTTTTTTAATTTATATTTTTATAATTTAATTATTTTTAATTAATTAATTATTTATATTTATATTGTTAAATTTATATTTATATCATTTAATTTATTTTAAAATTTGTATAAAAATAATAATATTTTATAATAATATTAAATATTTGATAAAAATTTAGTTTAAGGTTTGACTTTAAGGATTTAAAATATGTAAATATCATTTAAAATAAATAATCTTATATTATATTACTCTTGAAGATTCATGTATTCTAATTAATCATTATAATACTATTTCAAACTTTATTAATATAAAATATATTGATATAATTGAAAAACAAATTTGTATATTTTTTATTATTATTTTATATAATATTTTTTATTTTATCTTTTGTATATAATAAATATAAAATATAAACTTAAATAAATAAGTACGCTAAATTTTGCCAAGCTTTTTTCTTTATACTCATCACAAAATCTTTTCATGAACTAACTAAAATACATATATATTATTGATAATTTATTTATTTTTAGAGAAATAAACTTGACAACTTTAATATTCATTTGTGATATAAAAAAAAATGAAGTTGTAATTTATATATATATATATATATATATATATATATATATATATATATATTACTTTTTGTTAACATTTGGTATAAATTAATCGCTCCCCTAAATATAATTAAATTAAAATTATATTATATATATAAAAAAATGTCATAATATTTACGAGTATTTATATTTTTAAAATTAATAATTAAAAAATATTTTTTGAATTTTACCCATGCATGCGCGTATCATTATTTTGTCGAATCATTTAAAATAACTTGAAGACGTACATATTTATGCTAATTGTTTTCACTAATATATATGTATAAAATTTGTCACACTTGAAAAAAAAATTCAAATATCTAAAAGTATTCTATAAATATAAATTCCCTATTTTAAAATAATAAACTAACACAAATGACTACTTTTACATCAATGAAAATTAAATATAAATAATTTATCAATTAATCCTTATATGACATTTTCATAATGAATAGTCAATCACTAATTTGACATAGCACAAGGTCTATGAAACACAAATATAAATGTTCTTCCAATTCATCTAATTGCTCATTGAAACTACAATGCTTCTTCTTCAACAACTGCACAACATCATTGCCTTCAACTCTATTCTCCCTTCTCTTAACCCAAATTTTCACTCTTCTCCTCATGTATTCCAGCTCATCATTAAGCCGAACCACAAGCCGGCTTGTCATCTCCAAATCCTTATTCACTATATAACTTCCTTTCGCGGCTGCATCGAGCCGAGCCGCCACCTTAGCCAACTTCCTTTCCGAACCCAAATTCATTGAAGCCAATCCAGGCATAGCCATAATCAATGCAAGCCCATAAAAGATAATAATAACAACAAGTGAAGCCGTTATAACCGCAACTAGACAAGCCGAGCCACATTTTATTTTAGCGGCTAGTTGTAGCTTGGCTTGTGCCTTGTGGCGGCTTGACTCGAGCCGTTTTTGCAAGTTGAAGTATTGATACTGTTTGACCCGAACTTGATCCGATGAGGTAAACGGGTTGGAAAAGTTTGAAAATTCAGTTAAATGGGTCATAACCATTGGTGAAGGGATTTGATTAATTGGAACACATTGAAGAATGGTTTTAAGCGCTGTATACTTCACACGCAGAATATCAATGTCTTTTAATAGGTGGCTAAAAAGAAAAGAAGCATTGGCAGTGTGTGAGAAATAGTCTGACAGTAGAGAGTGAATCCTCGTCGAGGGGCACCGCGACCAACAAGCGTGAGCCATCGTGATTCGCGTCTGCAGCCCACTACCCCATTGAACCCTAGCTCCCCCTTTTGCACCCACGAGCCAACCCATTCTTCATTGTGAATCAACACTGACTACTCACTACGCTTCGCCACCTCATCGCACCACCTTGCAACGAAAGCGTTGGCCGCGACCCAACTCACCACAGGCCAAACCGTGGGGCTCTATATTTCTCTAGTCCCCTATTTCCTCCATTTCTGCTCAGATTCATTTCTGATTTTGCATTCGGCTCGTTTTTGTGTTGTCGCATTTGACTTGATTCTGGATTACTCTGCTTGGATATGGATTTGCTTAGTTTGTGTTTGGTTTATGTTATTTGATACAGGTTAGTTTGGAGTTTAAACTGGATACTTATTGGGTCTGTTGGTTATCGGGTTCGAGGCTGAATTGAGTTGATCTGGTTGTCAATATTCGGCACAGGGTTGTTGATTGGGCAGTTCTGGGTTTGGTCTCATCTCTGATTTGGGATTAGTGCGCGAGTCTGATTGATGATGTTGGATTGTGGATCACTACGGTTTGGGTCTTAATGAGAGTGTTTGGTTCTGATTTTTGTGTGGTTATGCACTGGGGCCAGTCACTAAGTTCAGATTGTTGTGTTTGAGTCTTTGATGTTTTTCTCTGCTTTTTATTGGATTGTGTTAACTTGACTTTTGGCCTGTGGCGTGATTGTGATCTTATGCTAGTTGGTCTCGTGTGAATGGTCTAGCATTGTGGTTATATGGATTTGACAAGATATTTTGCTTTGGTGCCTATCTAAAAATTGCCTACATAAGTCGTCAATACGTATTAGACTGAACTATTACGTTGTTTTCAAGATTTTTGTGGGCTGCCGGCCCCGCTTACTGACCAAGGGCACCCAATACTAAACCCTTTCAACCTTTTCACTAATTTTCGCTACCATGGTTGTTTAACGGGTTTGCGGATCTCTTCGCTAAGGTTGATACATTTGTAAGGTTTTGTGGTCATTTTTAATCAAGTCCTTACCCTTTTTATTTTTATCATCAATCTTTCACATTTTCCACACTATTTGTATATATCACACCGTTTTTTTAATTGCAAAGTTTATGATCTTGGATAATTTTGAAATTTTGTAAAATGTAATCTTTGAGTGGTAATTCAGGCAGCCTTCTTGCCACAGTTGATCAATGACATGGAAGGTGTTAAACTGCTCGTAAATTAAATGTTTTTGCACTTCAGATTTGCTGAGATTTTTATCTGAAGCTGGTCTAGTAAGCTCAAGCACATTCTTTATTTTAGTTTTCCTTATTCTCCATATGTTTTCACTGAAAAATAATTTTGTTGTTTTGTGAAAGCATTCAATCACGAATACTCTATCAATTCATAACTTTTTTCACTGATGAAATTTCGAATCAATTATCCAAAAAAGTGTTTTTAATTAATTTTCCTTAAAATTTGAAAAATGGTTTTCAATTTTTTATTATTTGAGTAATTTTAAAATATATTTTAGGAAAAAATCCTAAATAAAATAAAACCTATAGACCTGATATTTTAAAATAAAAAAGTTAGAAAAAAAGTTGGAATTAAAGAAAGAGGTTTCTCGACGCTAATCGGTGCAAATAGTTTTTATTGGATAAAACCTATAGACCAAATTGCCAGTGGTCCTATTTACTTTTGCTAAACTTTAAAGTGTAATAGGTTTTGTCTTACATGGATAAATAAGTGTATGTGTATTATGAATGTCTTTAAAACAGAAAGCTATTATTTATTTTAAATTTTTGTGATACAATTTCCTTGGATAGGAAAATATTTGAGACATTTCTTAAGGTTTAGTTAGAAATTTAGATTCAGCGTAACATAAGGGCGATCATTTCCTCTGAGATTTGTGCGCTGTTATATTTTTAGCTACTGTAAAATCTATTGTAGAGCTCATCATTTGTTTGAAGCAGGAAGAAAATGAAGTTTGTTTCAGTTGCTGTTAGGTCATTAAGTACCAATTTGTCACATCAGTTTTATCATACTCATATGATCAGAAGTCTTTCAACTTGGAGATTTACAGGTACTTGGTCTTTCTATCGTCTCCTTTTTAAGCAATAATCTACCTGTCACATTGTTGCTGATATATTGGTAATTGATTTTGATGATTGGCTGTATACATGTTCGGTTTCCTTGACGTATGAGTTTGTGAATGTTTTATGCTTTTCTCCTCGATGATCAAAAGTTTAATAGTAAACTAAGAGGATGAGGTTTGTCAGCCTGCCTCTTACCATTGTTAAAAATGGAAAAGTTTTTAGCTGATAAGTGAGAATGTATTTCAATTTTGTGTAACGTTTCAACTGCAGTAGTTTAATCAATAATTGAAATTCTTTGTCTGGAATCTGACTAGTGTGATAGTAAATGTTGATAAACAAATGTAGTGTTGAGGTGCAAATTTTTACAATTACAATTCTGTGGATCCATCATTGTTATGGATAAGTTTTCTTGGAAGTGACTTGTATAAGTTACTAGATAGTACATTATATATATATATATATATAGAGAGAGAGAGAGAGAGAGAGAGAGAAGCAGCATTATATTTGGAAGTAGGATCGGGCTTGACTTAAGTTAGTTCTGATTGACCTACAATCTTGTTGACTGTGCAGACCTTTCTTCTGTTTTTTTTTGGGTTGATTAATCTCTGCCATTTGTCATCTTCAGTTTGTTCTTAGGTGTCCTGGAAAATTCCTTATCTTCATGTTCTTAGGTATTTGTACATTTTGTCCAGTACTGAGAAGAGTTAACTACATTTCTGGATTTTAATTTTGACAATATGCAGTGTTGTGCCTAGGCCAAAAATGAAGTATATTTCTGTTGAATATTCAAACGGAGCATCACATAAATTTTGGAATAAGAAGGAAAGAAAAATGTTATATAGTAAACCTCTATAGATTTAAGCTTTAACATATTAGAATTTCATGTGTTCTGTATCACATGCCTAATCAGATTTCAGCGTTTGACATGTAACATATCATTGGGACTTTATTAGCATTCATTTTTATACCCAACTCATGTAAGTACAAATTCAATAGTGTGTGATCTGTGCTTGAATCACAACTTCCCAAATTCTATAAGGTTGTTCAACTTTTTTTCGTATCTGTCACTGATAGTCATGCAGAGGATTTACATTTATTCTTTATGAACTTCTTGCCCAATGTTTGAGCAGATAATGGTACTGGTGATCAACATGCTAACAAGTCTGCGTCTCCTGAGGAGTTTGGGAAGTTTGGTGAAAATCGTGCTAGATATGCCCAATTTGATTCCGTCCTTGAAAAGATTAACCAACAGGGAATGGCTCGACAGAGACCTGGTTCAGGAAATGGTGCTAGTTCTGAGATGATGCATCTTTTTGAAGAGAGTCATGACACATTATTAGATGGAATGGATGTAAAATTGAAGAATGCTGCCACATACTTTGAAGTTGATGAGGAAGAAATAAACAAAGAGGATTATGCTTTTCGATATGATGCCAATTTTCCAATTGATTCAAAATATGATGTAAAGGTAAGTTGAATAACAATGGCTAACTTCTTTGGTTATCATTGTTTTTATATAAATCTTTAATTTTAGATGTTTGTTTATATTTAATTCTGTAATAGGCATGAGGGCATCAAATGTTTTGTCCGAATTGATGTTTGATGTAATGATACTTGTACACATGTTTGGTGGGAGGTATTGTATGAAATATAGTGAAGAGTGTCTGGCAGGGTAGTTTTCATTACTGATAGCATCATGAAGTGACTGACACCAAAAATGCTATAGTGGAATAGCAGGATGGCCATTAAGTTGAGATTATAGATCTCTAACGTAATTAACTATAATGTATGTATTTTTAGATATTCAAAATTAAAGTGATATTCACAATTTATTCTAAATAATAGATAAATGGGTGTTGGGTGGTTCAGTAGAAGAATGGTGGTGATAAAAAAGAACAAGATTTGCAAGCTATGCCTGGGTGGGAATAGAGAATTGTAATGGTCCAGGAAGTGTGATTGGGGTTGAGTAGCAAGAAACTTTGGTAACTAGTGTATGGGTGTCAGAAAATGTTGGGAAATGGTTGGAAATAACAATCAATTGACTTGAGCTCATGCAAGTCGATGAGATAAGGAATGTGAATATGGCTGGAAAGTAATGAAAGAGGTTTTAAATTTCTTGATATCTTATGTATAGAAGGACATAAATTGAAACAGAAGTATCTTCATTGATTTTATCAATTAAAAATGGAGGGGAGACTTATATTTTGCAAGAATATGCATTCCGGAAATTTTGAATGGGTGTTCTCACCCATTCAAAACCTTGTAAGAAATTTAGGATCTTTAGGGTTAAAACCTTATAAGAAATTTAGGAATTAGAAAGAAGGTGGAAGAAAAGAATCACTCTTTCCAAGGGAGGCAACACACAAAGGATGTGACAGTCCTTTGATACACCCAAGGGTTCTTGAATCACTCAAGAATTTAGGAGAATCACTCTCACTAAGATAAAAGAGATAAACTCTAATATTTCTGAATAAAATTTCACTTGTTATTTCTTGATAAGAATGGTTCAAGTTGATATAGAAGCGTTGTCATCGAATTACAAAAGACTCAATAAACGAAAATAAATACTAATAATAACCCATTAATCTAGGAATTGAAAACTATTTAATGGAAACAAATAAAGGCTAATAATGATCCATTAACCTAGGAATTGAAACTACTTAATGACTGATTGTATCTGAAACTGTGGCAACCAAAAGTCAATCAGCTATGCACCCTTTGGTCTCCCAGAGGTTGATGACTAAATTTTCAATTGGGCCCTTATTACAACTTAAAACAAAATCAAACTAAAACTCATTAATTGATTAATCCAAAACACAATTTGGTCAACCAACAATACTTGTTGAAGAACTTCCTTTGTTTCCCTTGCTTCTAGCTCTTATCATAGGTCATGTTCACATCAACATTCTTGTGTAGATTACTAGAAGATGGTTATGCAAATGGTTATCAAAATATTAGAAATATAATCATAATTAAAAAACAATTGAAATAAATAGTTAAATAATATTAAGAACAAAATAGAGAATAATTATATACGCTAAAAAATATTACATAAAATAATCTCTTTATTAATAAATATATATAATTTTATGTAATATTTTTTAATAAATTTAATTATACTAAAATATTTTTCTGCAAATTCATTAAAAAAGTCTTTTTATAGTTTTTATTTAAGTAAATGTTTGTTATAGTTTATTATAACAAATAGTTCATATTTGAAATGATTTAATTTTGTAGTCATCTCAAATTTTGTTATCGGATAGGAAATTTTTGCAATCTTATGACCCGATCCGGCAGACAGGCACAGAAGAACAAAGCCCTTGCTCGTGCTGCGCCACCACTGTAAGACGACGTCGTTGTTGTGTTTTGCTGCCGCGCCACCATCTTTTCCAACAATCATCGCTCACTTTTCCTAACTTGGAACCCTTCGATTTGGAGTACCAAAGTTCTCATTTTTCAGGTAAGGTAAGAGCTCCTTTGCCTTTTCATGTTCCGCATACTTCATGTTTGGTCATATTTTAGATTTCACAAACAAACAATGTATATTCCTTATTAATATTAATTATCGTGTTTAAATTGCACAATCTGGATACATTATAAGAACTTTTCGTTTTTGAGTTCAAATCTTCGGTGCTTGCGACAAATAAGACCCCAAGAGGGTAAAAGTTTGGGTGCAGAATAACACCGTCCCCTTAAGGCAGAAATTAACAAAATTTAAAATCTGGGTCTGCAACTTGAAAATTTCTATCAAGGGGATATGACAAGTAAGACAAATTTAGTGTTGAAGGACAAACCTTCATATTTCAAAATGTTTTGTTTTTGGCTTGGATTTGTCATTTGTAGCATGCATTTGTGACGCCGCATTTAGTTTTGTTTCACTTTAATTTTGTTTGTGATGTTTCCAATTGCTTAATATTTGAGATTTATACGGCTTGTATGATATTAGGAACAATTCAGTCTTGTCTGATAGAACAATTGGTTAAGTTGTTACTTGGTTGGCAGTTTACAAGTACTTAAGATGAAAGTTCCTTACCTTGGTGGGAATGAAGATTTTTTATCTTATGTGATCAAGAATGATTGGCTCTTAGGTTTATTATATATATATATTATAACTTAGTGCTGGTGTGGATAATATCATTTACTTAAGTTTATTGCGTTGGTGTCTTCTGAATGCTGACTTTTAAACCAAATTGCCAGTGGCCCTATTTACTTTTGCTAAACTTTAAAGTGTAATAGGTTTTGTCTTACATGGATAAATAAGTGTATGTGTATTATGAATGTCTTTAAAACAGAAAGCTATTATTTATTTTAAATTTTTGTGATACAATTTCCTTGGATAGGGAAATATTTGAGACATTTCTTAAGGTTTAGTTAGAAATTTAGATTCAGCGCAACAGAAGTGAGATAATTTCCTCTGAGATTTGTGTGCTGTTATAATTTTAGCTACTGTAAAATATATTGTAGAGCTCATCATTTGTTTGAAGCAGGAAGAAAATGAAGATCGTTTTGGTTGCAGTTAGGTCATTAAGTACCAATTTGTCACATCAGTTTTATTAGACTCACATGATCAGAAGTCTTTCGACTTGGAGATTTACAGGTAATTGGTTATCGTCTCCTTTTTAAGCAATACTCTGACTGTCAGCAGTGTTGCTGATATATTGGTAATTGATTTTGATGATTGGCTGTATACATGTTCGGTTTCCTTGACGTTTGAGTTTGTGAATGTTTTATGCTTTACTCCTCTATGATCAAAAGTTTAATAGCAAACTAAGAGCATGAGGCTTGTCAGCCTGCCTCTTACCATTGTTAAAAATGGAAAAGTTTTTGGCTGATAAGTGAGAATGTATTTTAATTTTGTGTAACGTTTCAACTATAGTAGTTTAACCAATAATTGAAATTCTTTGTCTGGAATCTGACTAGTGTGATAGTAAATGTTGATAAACAAATGTAGTGTTGAGATGCAAATTTTTACAATTACAATTCTGTGGATGTGTACCATCATTGTTATGGATAAGTTTTCTTGGCAGTGACTAGTATAAGTTACTAGTATAGTACATTATATATATATACAGAGAGAGAAGCAACATTATATTTGGAAGTAGGATCGGGCTTGACTTAAGTTAGTTCTGATTGAGCTACAATCTTGTTGACTGTGCAGACCTTTCTTCTGTTTTTTTGGGTTGATTAATATCTGCCATCTGTCACCTTCAGTTTGTTCTTAGGTGTCCTGGAAAATTCCTTATCTTCATGTTCTTAGGTATTTGTACATTTTGTCCAGTACTGAGAAGAGTTAACTACATTTCTGGATTTTAATTTTCACAATATGCAGTGTTGTGCCTAGGCCAAAAATGAAGTATATTTCTGTTGAATATTCAAACGGAGCATCACATAATTTTTGGAATAAGAAGGAAAGAAAAATGTTGTATAGTAAACCTCTATAGATTTAAGCTTTAATCATATGAGAATTTCATGTGTTCTGCATCACATGCCTAATCAGATTTCTGCATGTGACATGTAACATATCATTGGGACTTTATTAGCATTCATTTTTATACCCAACTCATGTAAGTACAAATTCAATAGTGTGTAATCTGTGCTTGAATCACAACTTCCCAAATTCTATAAGGTTGTTCAACTTTTTTTCGTATCTGTCACTGATAGTCATACAGAGGATTTATATTTATTCTTTATGAACTTCTTGCCCAATGTTTGAGCAGATAATGGTACTGGTGAGCAGCATGCTAACAAGTCTGAGTCTCCTGAGGAGTTTGGGAAGTTTGGTGAAAATCGTGCTAGATATGCCCAATTTGATTCCTTCCTTGAAAAGATTAACCAACAGGGAATGACTCGACAGAGACCTGGTTCAGGAAATGGTGCTAGTTCTGAGATGATGCATCTTTTTGAAGAGAGTCATGACACATTATTAGATGGAATGGATGTAAAATTGAAGAATGCTGCCACATACTTTGAAGTTGATGAGGAAGAAATAAACAAAGAGGATTATGCTTTTCGATATGATGCCAATTTTCCAATTGATTCAAAATATGATGTAAAGGTAAGTTGAATAACAATGGCTAACTTCTTTGGTTATCATTGTTTTTATATAAATCTTTAATTTTAGATGTTTGTTTATATTTAATTCTGTAATAGGCATGAGGGCATCAAATGTTTTGTCCGAATTGATGTTTGATGTAATGATACTTGTACAAATGTTTGGTGGGAGATATTGTATGAAATATAGTGAAGAGTGTCTGGCAGGGTAGTTTTCATTACTGATAGCATCATGAAGTGACTGAGACCAAAAATGCTATAGTGGAATAGCAGGATGGCCATTAAGTTGAGATTATAGATCTCTAACGTAATTAACTATAATGTATGTATTTTTAGATATTCAAAATTAAAGTGATATTCACAATTTATTCTAAATAATAGATAAATGGGTGTTGGGTGGTTCAGTAGAAGAATGGTGGTGATAAAAAAGAACAAGATTTGCAAGCTATGCCTGGGTGGGAATAGAGAATTGTAATGGTCCAGGAAGTGTGATTGGGGTTGAGTAGCAAGAAACTTTGGTAACTAGTGTGTGGGTGTCAGAAAATGTTGGGAAATGGTTGGAAATAGCAATCAATTGACTTGAGCTCATGCAAGTCGATGAGATAAGGAATGTGAATATGGCTGGAAAGTAATGAAAGAGGTTTTAAATTTCTTGACATCTTATGTATAGAAGGACATGAATTGAAACAGAAGTATCTTCATTGATTTTATCAATTAAAAATAGAGGGGAGACTTATATTTTGCAAGAATATGCATTCCGGAAATTTTGAATGGGTGTTCTCATCTTGTGTGATCCACAAATATTATAACCCTCAAATCTAACCCTAGGTACCCACGTTCCTCGTCAAAGGAAAATTGTGTTGTAATGACTTTTTTAGAGTTTTAGGTGATTTGACAGAATTATGATACTCTGTCTGTATCTTGTCTATCCTTTTTAATTTGATACATAATTTCACTCTATTGCATTGAAGGGTTTAAATTACATGCATTAATATATATACACACTGGCTTGTTCATATTCAATGGTATGATTAACTAATCATGTTAAATGCTTTTGATCATATCTTCACTTTTATTCTGTCTGCTTTAAACAACTATGGCTATAATATCCTATTCAATGCAAGATATCTCAACCTTTACTCTGTTAATGTTTATATTTACATTATATGTATCTACTAGTTTTCTAATATGTGCAGTATCTTTCTTCATACAGGCTCTGGATCTTACAAAACCTGGTGTACACAAGCCTCATGCAAGGAATGAATTCATTGTAACCACCAAAGAAGTTCTTAGTCAAGCAGATTTCAGGGTTAGCATTTATGTCAAGTAGTTCCTTAGTTTCTTTTTAGTAAGACATCTAGTATATACTTCTGAGTGCTACGTTGAAGTGACAATTGTCACTTTCATGATTTTTTTTTTATATAACTATTGTGATAATATAAAATAGTTCATGACTTGCGCTTATCTCTTAGTGAGAGACACTTTCACATCTCATATTAATTTTTTGTTTTTTTATCTTTTGGGTGCATTGTTTTGGTGAAAGAAAAACTAGAAATGAATAAAAACGTGTTAATTGTCAAAACTATCTTATATAGATTGTAAGGTTGTGTGTATACTCTGCCCACCATATTTTCACTTTAGGATATTTGAAAATGGTGTCTAAGTCAACCAACCACCTTAACCCATTCCATCTTGGCCTCCCATATATATATATATATATATATATATATATATATATATATGTCTTGTACTTTAACAATAAAACTAAAAATGATTGATATAAGGCTGGTTTGGAAAAATGATTTTCTCTGTCATAATTGATTATACTGGTAATATAATCAATTATGGCAATTCAAATTTGAAAAATATATCTGTTTTAAAGAATAAATGTTTTTGAATACATCCTGATTTTTTCTATGATATTATTAATGTCCAACGACCATTTTCTGATTCTATTTTTCTATTTAATTAAGTTTTGCTGAAAAATAAAAAACACATAATTACTGAATTCGAAAATACAATTTACATTCAATCAGTTTTGAGAAAAGAATTATGAGCAAGGCAACAGAGATATTTTACACCTTCTGAGAAAACCCTCTTCTCTACTGTCTTCTGTGCTTTCATTGTTAATCACACTTGTTCTTGGAGATTGGCGTTCTACATGTTTCTACAATTTATTGTCTCTATTACCCATGTGTGTCTGTTCTTATTTTTATTACCTTCATCCTTTGTATATTGGTGGCAAAGGAGGTGTTTTCATCCTTTGATTTGTTCAAAGGAGGTTTTCATCCCTAGTGTGATTCTAGGGAAGTGTTCATCCTTAGTGGGATTATAAGGAGGTGTTTTTTCATCTTTTGATTTGTTCAGAGGAGGTGTTCATCCCTAGTGAGATTCTAGGGAGGTGTTCATCCTTAGTGGGTTTCTAAGGAAGTGATTGTCTTTTTAATTAGTTTACTTTTTACTGGTTCTTCTGCTGAGTTGATTGTAATTTGTAAACTGAATTTGAAAGATAGTGAATTGGGAGTCACTCTTGTGTTAAGAGTTGACTGGGAACTGGATGTAGGGTTGACTATACCCGAACCAGTATAAATTACTGTGTGTTCTTCTATTTCCCTTATCTCTTTCTCTTTTCCTGATATATTATCGTTTCCGCTTTATTTGTGTTCAAACAAATTATTGACTCACAAATAAATTTTTAATTTGACATCTATTTTAATTTCTGCATCTATTCACCCCCTCTATGTCATTTGTCTAACATTTAATTCAAAATTTATATCAAAATAAAAATAATTAAACTAAATTACATAGCATTTGATATATTTTATTAAGATGATAAACCATATTAGGTATGATCAATTGATTCTTTAGTCTATTAATATATTTTTGTCATTTCAGATCTAGTTTGTATCAACTTGGTGGATTAAGAGCGAGACATGATAGATTGACTTATAAATTTATTTTAAAAATATTTATATATTAAAATAAAATAAAATTAGTTATAATTAAAAATATTATTTTTTACATGATTAAAATATATAAATATATTATAATGTATTAATTATTGATTATAATTAATTATTTTAATTAAAAAATTAAAAATTATTCATATAATTAAAGATGTATTTTTTTTAAATATATATAAAAAATATTAATAGATTAACTTGGTAACTCGTCAACTTATTTTTTATGAGATGAGTTAAGGTTTATTTTTGCAAATTAAACGTATAAAATGAGGTAAAATACGGTTCATTTTATCATTTTTACTTTTTATTATGTTAAAATAAGATTTAAAAAGATGAGATTTTGGATAAAGAAGGGTTGTTTTGGATTTGGATTAAAGTAATCGTCACGAAATTCAGTTTATCATTTAGAAATGATTAAAAAAATATAATTCAGATCACAAAAAGCGTAACCTAATGTGTTGATAAAAAAATTTGAAACGAAGTAAAAAACGATTTTTTAACACGCACGCCTACAAAGCGAATTTAACACCAAATTGATACCCAATAAGTTATCTTAGAGAAAATAAGTGGACTTCAGGAAAAGAAATAAAGAAGTTAGTAAAGGTTACTAAACCTTATTTAAGAATAATGGCAAAAAATAAAGATAAGTACATTTTGTATTAATAAATAATATAAATATCTTGAATCTCATTATATATAACAGATACATCTAACTACAGTGGAATATTTAGAAAAAAAATAGTGTTATATATATATATATATATAATTCTCTTATTTTTTTTTAAATTATTATTAATAAATAAAGTTGACTTATCTTTTAAAGTAAGAAATAAATATATAACTATTAAATATTCAGTGTTAGTAAGAAAATAAAATAAAAATATTATATAGTTGATGCAATAAAGTAAGAAAAGGAAGATAAATAAAATAAGAGAGAAAAGAAAGAAAATAAACAAAAAAATATATAAACACAAGTTTTGTGTATTATTTACAGTTATTTTTAACTAAGGATAATATATATATATATATATATATATATATATAGTCTTATTAATTTTATTTTATAATTATAATTATTCTCTCTAATTTTATTTTCTTTTTAATTTATATTTATATATTTTTTAAAATTATTTCTTGAAATTTATTTATATAATTACTTTTAATTAATTATTTTTTTATATTTGCATTGGTTAATTTATATTTATATCATTTAATTTATTTTAAAATTTGTATAAAAATAATTTTTTTTATAATTATTAAATATTTGATAAAATATTAGTTTAAGGTTTGACTTTAAGGATTTAAAATATGTAATTATCATTTAAAATAAATAACCTTATATTATATTACTCTTGAAGATTCATTTATTCTAATTAATCATTATAATACTATTTCAAAATTTCTTAATATAAATTATATTGATATAATTGAAAAACAAATTTGTATATTTTTTATTATTATTTTATATAATATTTTTTATTTTATCTTTTGTATATAATAAATATAATATATAAACTTAAATAAATAAGTACGATAAATTTTGCCAACCTTTTTTCTTTATACTCATCACAAAATCTTTTAATGAACTAACTAAAATACATATATATTATTAATAATTTATTTATTTTTAGAGAAATAAACTTGACAACTTTAATATTTATTTGTGATATGAAAAAAAAATGAAATTGTAATTTGCATATATATATATATATATATATATATATATATATATATTACTTTTTGTTAACATTTGGTATAAATTAATCGCTCCCCTAAATATAATTAAATTAAAATTATATTATATATATATATATATAAATGTCATAATATTTACGAGTATTTATATTTTTAAAATTAATAATTAAAAAATATTTCCTGAATTTTACCCATGCATGCGCGTATCATTATTTTGTCGAATCATTTAAAATAATTTGAAGACGTACACATTTATGCTAATTGTTTTCACTAATATATATGTATAAAATTTGTCACACTTGAAAAAAAACATTCAAATATCTAAAAGTAAATAAATATAAATTCCCTATTTAAAAATAATAAACTAACTAAATTACTACTTTTACATCAATGAAAATTAAATATAAATAATTTATCACTTAATCCTTATATGACACTTTCATAATGAATAGTCAATCACTAATTTGACTTAGCACAAGGTCTCTAGCCCCGTTAATAGTCATGAAACACAAATATAAATGTTCTTCCAATTCATCCAATTGCTCACTGAAACTACAATGCTTCTTCTTCAACAACTGCACAACATCATTGCCTTCAACTCTATTCTCCCTTCTCTCAACCCAAATTTTCACTCTTCTCCTCATGTATTCTAGCTCATCATTAAGCCGAGCCACAAGCCGACTTGTCATCTCCAAATCCTTATTCACTATAAAACTTCCTTTCGCGGCTGCATCGAGCCGAGCCGCCACCTTAGCCAACTTCCTTTTCGAACCCAAATTCATTGAAGCCAATCCAGGCATAGCCATAATCAATGCAAGGCCATGAGAGATAGTAATAACAACAAGTGAAGCCGTTATAGCCGCAACTAGACAAGCCGAGCCACATTTTATTTTAGCTGCTAGTTGTAGCTTGGCTTGTGCCTTGTCGCGGCTTGACTCGAGCCGTTTTTGCAAGTTGAAGCATTGATACTGTTTGGCCCGAACTTGACCCGATGAGGTAAACAGGTTGGAAAAGTTTGAAAATTCAGTTAAATGGGTTATAACCATTGGTGAAGGGATTTGATTAGTTGGAACACATTGAAGAATGGTTTTAAGCGCTGTATACTTCAGACGCACAAGATCAATGTCTTTTAATAGGTGGCTAAAAAGAATAGAAGAATTGGCAGTATGTGAGAAATAGTCTGAAAGTAGAGAGTGGACCTTGGGCCTACAATGGGCCAGGGATAGGGCCCGAGTGACCGTGGGCTGATCGGGGTCCAATAGATGCTCCGCGAACAAACGGTACGAGGGGAGACGGGCCGAGGTGGTGGACTCTCTTGACAAACAAGAAGATGAATCGTTCTTGGAATAGGCAAGGACACGTGTCCAAAACTCAGTGTATGATTCCGTTCGAAATGCGTTTGCATATTCCTCACGCACGTCCACACAGGGTTGGTGATTTGGAGAACTGCTACATTCTGTTGCATGCCATTGTCCTTATTACATTATGTTAGAATCAGAGTATTATCTCATTAATTTATGAATCTATTTGGACAAACTTATGTATATACTTCAGCTTTATGTGTCTACAACAAGATTTAACGTCCTTGTAATTTGTAGTCTTGTTTGTTTACAAAGAACATTGTTTATCTGAATCAAATCTTATGATAACACCTCAATGAGGAGAGGGAAAACAATCCATCAAGAGAGCGAAAAGCAGAGCATGATTATTACCTGAACACGAAAACGGCTTTTTGATCCGGCGAATCAATTTGTTCTTCATTCCTAAACGTAACACTGCAAATCAAGGATCCAAGAGAAAAATCAGAAGGCATGCAATGAACTACAGTTTTTATCAAAAGGAAACAGAATTGGAGGAAATTAGGTCTAATGAATCCAAATTTTCTATTGAAATTAAATTGGATGTCAACCTTTCTGAGAATCGTAATGAATGAGGCTTTTGGCGGTAGAGTTTTTGAATGAAAAAGAAATTGAATGAGATTCTTAAGGTGGAGCTATTCTTTTTGAGAGATAAAATTCTTCTTTCTTTTAATAATGCAAAACACAGAGCCATTTTTCAGTTTTTGCTTGTAAGAAAGAGCTACGAAAGTTTTGGCAACGTAGTGAGATCTTGTAGTGTACGTGAAGGGTACTTAGTGATATCTGGATTTAGCGTGATGGAACGAAGGTAGTTCTAGAATTGTTTTCTGTAACCTCAAAGCTAAGTAATGTTTATGTGTTTCTATAGAGGTATTAAATGGAAATAAAATTTTGAAACAAAAAAGTTAGTAAAAGTATTATCTTTCATTTTATTTTATTAAAAATAGGTATTTTACAATATCAAACTAAAAAATAAATACATAATTGAATACATAAGCCTTGCACGAATATTTTTTATATATTTTTAACCCAAATAATTTTAAATTAAGTATAATTGGATTGATTTGAATTTTATATTTATTTTTAATCTTTTAAGAATTAAATTTAACCTAATTTAAAATTTTGATTGACTAAAGTAATAAGTAAGGAAAAATATTTTCAAAACACAACAATTTATAAAAAAATCATTTATTTAATTTCCGCGAATAGAATAAATAAAAATACAATGATGCTGTTGTTCTGTTAATATTTAACACGGGCCGCAATAGATTCTGGCCCAACATCCGTAACACAATCACATTGCATTCTCAATCCCTTGATGCCTATATATACTCTCACGAATCCCTTACTTAACTCGTGCTTAGGGTTCACAAGCGCCGTCCCTATTCTTCAGCAGTTCCGAAAGGAGGTGTCTTGTCTCTCTATTCTGTGTTAGGTTTTCCATCTAATTGATTCCTTTGTTGTATGTTAGGGATACTCTCACGTATCCCTCTTTGGCTTTAAACCTGTGCCTTTGAGATGAATGCAGCACCGGTCAGGACCCAAGTCTGGATAGATAAAAATAAAACCATGATAATAAATAATAATATTTATTCTGAAAATATTTGAGAAAAAAATATTTTTCTTTATAAAAACAAAAAAAAGGAAAAGAAAAGAAAAGAAAAAAAATATATATATATATCATAATTAAAAAAAAAATAATAAAAAAAGAGTAATTCTTTTTTGGATCCAACCATTCTTTAACCTAAGTCTCAAAATTTTAACTTAATTTTTGATTTTAAAATGGGGAAATAGTGAATAGGGGGATTCGCTGGCCTCCATTCACACTCACCCTGTATCACCCGCGTCGCCCCCAATCACCCAACCTTCACTCACCTTTCATCCCATTCTCTTCACCTTTCCTTATCTTCTCCCAGCCGCACCCTCTTCACCTTCTAAATCACCTTCGGCAATCTCCGCCGCAGGCCGCCTCCCCTCACCGGAGCTGCGAACCCAGCTCAACCCGCAAACACCCATTCCGCCTTCACCAAACCACTCACCAAATCCCCCGCGTCAGAATCGCACCCAAACCGTCGCACCTCAGCCGTGCCTCCCAGCCCTAGCAGCGGTCGCGACCGCACCCTAACCCAGTCTCCACCAAGCCGCCGCTGACCCCCACTCACCATCACACGTCCAAATCCCAGTCACAGCCACCGCCTCCCTGACCACCATCGTGGCCATCCCTAAACCCCTAACCGCCTCACTCCCACCACCAATCGACCGCCACTATCCCCACTTAAGAGCCCCATCTCGCCGCTACCAACCATCACCGCGGACGAGATCTCCTCATCGAGGGGCACCGCGACCACCAAGCGTGAGCCATCGTGATTCGCGTCTGCAGCCCACTACCCCATTGAACCCTAGCTCCCCCTTTTGCACCCACGAGCCAACCCATTCTTCATTGTGAATCAACACTGACTACTCACTACGCTTCGCCACCTCATCGCACCACCTTGCAACGAAAGCGTTTGGCCGCGACCCAACTCACCACAGGCCAAACCGTGGGGCTCTATATTTCTCTACTCCCTTATTTCCTCCATTTCTGCTCGGATTCATTTCTGATTTTGCATTCGGCTCGTTTTTGTGTTGTCGCATTTGGCTTGATTCTGGATTACTCTGCTTGGATATGGATTTGCTTAGTTTGTGTTTGGTTTATGTTATTTGATACAGGTTAGTTTGGAGTTTAAACTGGATGCTTATTGGGTCTGTTGGTTGTCGGGTTTGAGGCTGAATTGAGTTGTAAATATCTGGTTGTCAATATTCGGCACAGGGTTGTTGATTGGGCAGTTCTGGGTTTGGTCTCATCTCTGATTTGGGATTAAATGCTTTTGCTCTTCAGATTTGCTGAGATTTTTCTCTGAAGCTGGTCTAGTAAGCTTAAGCACATTCTTTATTTTAGTTTTCCTTATTCTCCATATGTTTTCACTGAAAAAGAATTTTGTTGTTTTGTGAAAGCATTCAATCACGAATACTCTATCAATTCATAACTTTTTTCATTGATGAAATTTCGAATCAATTATCCAAAAAAGTGTTTTTTTAATTAATTTTCCTTAAAATTTGAAAAATATATTTCATTTTTTTATTATTTGAGTAATTTTAAAATATATTTTAGGAAAAAATCCTAAATAAAATAAAACCTATAGACCTGATATTTTAAAATAAAAAAGTTAGAAAAAAAGTTGGAATTAAAGAAAGAGGTTTCTCGACGCCAATCGGTGCAAATAGTTTTTATTGGATAAAACCTATAGACCAAATTGCCAGTGCCCTATTTACTTTTGCTAAACTTTAAAGTGTAATAGGTTTTATCTTACATGGATAAATAAGTGTATGTGTATTATGAATGTCTTTAAAACAGAAAGCTATTATTTATTTTAAATTTTTTGTGATACAATTTCCTTGGATAGGGAAATATTTGAGACATTTCTTAAGGTTTAGTTAGAAATTTAGATTCAGCGTAACAGAAGTGCGATCATTTCCTCTGACATTTGTGCGTTGTTATATTTTTAGCTACTGTAAAATCTATTGTAGAGCGCATCATTTGTTTGAAACAGGAAGAAAATGAAGTTTGTTTCAGTTGCTGTTAGGTCATTAAGTACCAATTTGTCACATCAGTTTTATCAGACTCATATGATCAGAAGTCTTTCAACTTGGAGATTTACAGGTACTTGGTCTTTTTATCGTCTCCTTTTTAAGCAATAATCTACCTGTCAGCATTGTTGCTGATATATTGGTAATTGATTTTGATGATTGGCTGTATACATGTTCGGTTTCCTTGACGTTTGAGTTTGTGAATGTTTTATGCTTTTCTCCTCGATGATCAAAAGTTTAATAGTAAACTAAGAAGATGAGGTTTGTCAGCCTGCCTCTTACCATTGTTAAAAATGGAAAAGTTTTTAGCTGATAAGTGAGAATGTATTTCAATTTTGTGTAACGTTTCAACTGTAGTAGTTTAATCAATAATTGAAATTCTTTGTCTGGAATCTGACTAGTGTGATAGTAAATGTTGATAAACAAATGTAGTGTTGAGGTGCAAATTTTTACAATTACAATTCTGTGGATGTGTACCATCATTGTTATGGATAAGTTTTCTTGGCAGTGACTTGTACAAGTTGCTAGATAGTACATATATATATATATATATATATATATATATATATATATATATATATATATATATATATATATACGGAGAGAGAGAAGCATTATATTTGGAAGTAGGATCGGGCTTGACTTAAGTTAGTTCTGATTGACCTACAATCTTGTTGACTGTGCAGACCTTTCTTATGTTTCTTTTTGGGTTGATTAATCTCTGTCATCTTCAGTTTGTTCTTAGGTGTCCTGGAAAATTCCTTATCTTCATGTTCTTAGGTATTTGTACATTTTGTCCAGTACTGAGAAGAGTTAACTACATTTCTGGATTTTAATTTTCACAATATGCAGTGTTGTGCCTAGGCCAAAAATGAAGTATATTTCTGTTGAATATTCAAACGGACAAAAATGAAGTATATTTCTGTTGAATATTCAAACGGAGCATCACATAATTTTTGGAATAAGAAGGAAAGAAAAATGTTGTATAGTAAACCTCTATAGATTTAAGCTTTAATCATATGAGAATTTCATGTGTTCTGCATCACATGCCTAATCAGATTTCAGCATGTGACATGTAACATATCATTGGGACTTTATTAGCATTCATTTTTATACCCAATTCATGTAAGTACAAATTCAATAGTGTGTAATCTGTGCTTGAATCACAACTTCCCAAATTCTATAAGGTTGTTCAACTTTTTTTCACAATTAGACATATAACGAGAGTACTATTTTAAAATATTATTTTGCAGATTTTATCGAGAGACTAGGATAATGGCGGATTATTTTAAAAAAATATTTGAATAATAGCAAAATTAATTTTGATATTTTGATACTTACACTCACGTTCTGTTTCTTCAAGCAAAGCTAGGGTTGAGATAATCATGTCAGACACAGAATCCGGGACCCCTAATGCCGGTTCAACGGCGAAGAAATCAAAGCGGCGGAGGAGGAAAGATTACATGGTGGACGAGGAAGGGCAAATGGAGTCGCGACAGAAGCTGGCAAAAAGAATCTTGTTGTCTCTTACGAGGCCTTCCTATGTCATGGGATTGGGTCCCAAACCTCTGAGGGTGGAACACCGTACTAGGTTACGCTATTTGCTGCGGAGACTCGTCAACCAGCATCACTGGGTCGCAGCCAGTGGCGTTCTCAGTGCCTACTTGAAGGGCACACTTAATGACACATCTCCTCTCAGAAACCGTCTTAGGTTTTGGGTACCTTCTGCCATTTTTGCTCTTATTATGTGTGAAATTGGGAATGTGGTGTGGTTTCAAGTTTTATTTGATTCCCAAATGTTGATATTGTTGTCTTGTTTGATTATCATTGCCATTTGATAGATACGAATTTATATTTTATTGTTATAATTTCTTCTATTGTTGATATCCTGAGTTAGTTTCTGAACAGTGGCATGTATGCTGGTATGTTTGTAGGTTTTGATGGAGCTTCTTAAGTATATGAAAAACAATTCTATTAATTCCACTAAAATCAAGAACCTTTATGATATCTGGTCGAAGAAAATTGGATCAATGAAAACTTGGCCATTACAGGTATGCATGTTTCAGACCCTCCAATTATATGCTTTGTAGTGGTTGCCTTCATCTTTAAATGATTATAAATTTGCCTTGTCGGGTAGTAACTATTTCTGACTTATAGCTTGTTCTGAAGCCCCTAAAGGTTATTTATGACCTTAACTTTTTTCGTAGTAAAACAGAAAGTATACTATTTAAGCATGATAGAAACTGTTACGAATGACAAAAGGAGCAAACATAAAAGCTTGAGAGGAAAAAAAGAGAAATATTATAATATTTGAGTGTGTCTCCACAACCCAAATCACCTCATATTTATAATGGAAGGTTGTAGAGATACATTGATTAGAGGGAAGATGAAAAGATTAACATCTAGAAGATACAACTCATAAAGATACAACTAATTAGTATCAATCTAGTAAATATAAATCGTATGAATCTAACTAACAAATTTAATAAAATATGGAATTTTCAGAAGCACATACATTTTCTTGTGGTGAAAAGTGTATTGGAATATTGCTTTCCTGTTTTATAGGGATGATGAATTATAAATATCTTAAATTTCTGACAAATTTGATTATTATTACACTATGCTATAGTAGATGATGTGAAAAACAAAACTCACAAGAGAGAGGTAGCCTATCTCATTCGAAAATCAATTGCAAGTTCAGAAAATTATAAAGGATATATTCTGAAAAGTCTAATTGAAAGAGGGAAGACGGGAGCTAGATAAAAGAAAAAAGTATGATCTTGATGGCTGTGACTTGTGAGTCTATTGCCAAACATCAAGTACTCAACGAGTAATACTTTTCTTTTCCTCCTTGGTGAAATTGGGACTAATTTGAAGAAATCAGGGCATACCAGACAATTTTACTACTATTAAATACTACCACATGCCAAGTTTATTGTTCACTGTTTATGTCCCCACCAATTTTATGGGATAATATGCTTATCATTTTTTTAACTAAAGCCTTGCCTCAATTCTCAATTATTCAATTCCAATTTTTCTGCAGAATTCTCCTGTTCAATGTTGAAGCTGCATTTTTGAAGTTATCTAGAGATGTGCTAGGTTTAAGAAAACGTTTGATGTTTCCATTTCATATTTTCATAAATATTTACAAAAATGTTAGCTTGTTTTCACTTTGTTTCTTGATTTGAAAGATTAGTATAGGAATTGAGGAAAGCAATATTTCAAGATAAGAAACAAAATGAAACATAAGGTGACAGTTAATTCATTATTTTAGATGAAAACAGAAATGTTTTGTCAAACCATATACGATTCTAAGTTTCTATATTTATGTTTTAGTAATGTTTAAATTATTAATGTTTTGGATCTGCAAGCTATATGAGAGCAATCAGGTTGTGATAATATGCTTGCTCCCAATTTTGTTGGCTAACCTTGTTGGTGGGGCAACTCGACCATTTCCAATGGAAATAATCTCATCAAACTATCTGCTGACTTTAATTCTACTTGTTAAATAGATTATATTTTGCATTGAGACATTAATCATGAATTTAAATTGTCAGCTTGGTTGTTTAGTCTTCAGTTCTTAATTTAGAATTTTGCTTATGGAGCAGAGCAGATATGCAGTCCATTTTGAGTTCATGTTGTTCTGTCTTATGCAAGGCAATGCGGGGGACGCATACCAGCTTGCTTTATGGTATGTTTTTTAATTTGAATGTGTTATTCTTTGCAGAATAATGAGTTGCACCATGATGCCAAGTGGAATAGATGATTTCATAACTTATCATTACTATATAATGTGGTGATCTGGTTGCCGGTCATTGTTATTATATTTTTTATCAGGGTTGTATATTTTCAATAAAACTTAAATTGCTCATAATGGTTGATAAGGTTTTAATGGTAATTGTCATTGGTGTCTATTCCTCCGGACAGTTGGGAATAGTATCTTAATTCTATTCCTCCAGAGCCTTGGTACTTGACTACCTCTTATAAAATCAAGCTAATTATGAAATTATGCTACTTAATATTGCCATTCTTTACGAGCATCTAGAGTAGACAAGTTTATCTCTGTAGAAAAACAAACATAATTGCATAAAGTCAATATTCCAAATGATTGACACTGCCTCAATTCCAAAAGGATGAATTTGGGACTGGCCATATATCCTGGAAAATTGGGGATGGATTAGTCCTCATGGTGGCTTTTAAAGATACATTGCTGTTAGTGTCCTTACCATTCAAGAATTGACCCAAGAGATATAACAGTTATTTTAATGGAATATAACAGTTTCAATGCTCTGGCAATTACAATCGTAGTTATTTTATTTATTCTCTACCATCACTATTAATATACATAGGTTAGATTGCCTAGTAACTACCCTACTGGTATAGTTAAGTACTAGATACATGCCCTCGAATAAATGCAACTGACTCAAATAAGACCAAAATATCATGATATGTTTTTGGCACCAAAGTGTCTTATTAAATGTCTTCAAATATTAACTTTCCATTGACAATTTTTTTTTTCTTCATTAGTGTGGTTTTCACTTCAAAAATAGTAAAATACATATCACTGTTTGAGATAGTGTTATAAGGGGATCACCAGGTTCTATTTATTTTCTTCTTATTCCCTTGCTTTTTCTTTCTTTATTCATTTATTTTTGTCTTTTGGTTTCATGTTTAGCCTTGAGCAAGAGAGAGTTGATATTGATCCTGTGTCGAAGATGATGATGGGTTTGACATTCTACGAGCTGTGGTATTCTTCTATCCCCAAAGAATTCCAGTGGAGAAACTCAGATCAGGTTGACATGCGAAAGAACTCACAAATGGAGGAAACCTCATTTATGAACGAAACTGAACAGTCAGAGTGGTATCATTCAGTTGAATCCCACATGGCTGACTCCCAATGTCAACGTGATTCAGATGCCTCTATCATGAATGATAAGCATATATCCAAGGATGTTGTATTCAGTGAAGACATGAGGGTTGTTACTATTAAAAGAGAAAAACCACATCAGAACTTTCAGCCAGAAGGTTTTTACTTAAATTCTGAAGAGCAAAAAGGATTTGAAGACCCTTTTTCTATTAGTGGAGGTCTTACAGAGGATATCTTACATGGTCTTGGTACGTTATTTATTCACTGAACAGGAGAAATATCTATTTTCTGTGGATGCACTCCTGTCCTAGAATGTGCATGTGCTTATATGATTGTATATGGATTTTCCTGCGTAATTTTTTATTTTTCTCAGACTGAAAATATTGATTGTCTTTCTCATTACCCTGATAAGACTAGATTGTAAATTTTCTCTTGCCAATGATGACTTGTTTGCAGCAACCTATGATTTGTTTTGTTAAAGCTTCCCCTATTACTGTGGTTTATGTTGAAGATAAACGAAAAGAGGTTGTAGAATTCTCATTTGACGACTTGCAACTTCAGACAATACCACTAATTTGGCACTGAGACAATTCATGTTTCTTTTATTGGATCAGAGCTTTGAACTGCCGTGAATGACAATTTTCTTTCACTTTGAATATTCCATGCGTGACTAATCTTTATGATTTTAAGAAGTCTGTGTCAAATGCTTAATATTTTCAGTTCAGATGGGCTCCCACATAGGAATATCTGTCACTAGAGGCCTCTATCAGATAAATCATTTTACAAGACAGAGAGCTTACTCTTTCTCTAGTTATGATGTAGCAGAGAGGTTTCCCAGAGAAATCCAGGAAGCTCAATGTTGAGTGGTTTGAGGAAATGTGAAACAAAATGTAGAAATATTAAGGAGACAAGAAGGAACCCAAGAAGGGATATCTTCAATCACATGCAATAGATGGATCTTTTGCAGTGACTTAGCATATCATAATAAGGGAAACTTCCTTTCATGGGTAACAGAAAAATACCAGTAGCCAAGGCATGGTCAAGATCCCTATGCACCACATCTGCAGAAAAATTGATTTGATATGATATCAGAAGTTTAGTTGATTCCCTAAGCTCTAGAGCAAAACCCTTACAAGTTACAAATTTCACATTAACTGGTGATATCATCAAACTGGTGACTAACTAAATGACAATAAGCCAGTCGGTTTGTTAGTTAGAGTTAGTTTTTCATGAGGACAAATTGTTCCAAGGGTATATAAAGTGATAGAAACTCAACACTGTAAAATAGAGAATACACAATAAATGTGATGAACAATGGAATGATTTTATTTGATTGAAAGCAAGAAATACAGAAGGAAGAAAATTCCTGCTATCCAGAGCACTAACTCCTTTAGAGCACCCACAAAGGCCCTCTACCCAAAGCAATCCACTCAATCGAATCCCCAAAAAGGTCCCCACACCCGATTCTAAATACAATGGGAATTTCCCCTTTTTCTCTGTCCTCTAGTTAACCTCTTTCCCTTAGTCTGCCATGTCACCCTTTCTAGGCTTCTTCCTCACATACACCATTCCTCATATGTGTATTAGCTTCTTGGATCAATGGCATTATGCCCATTTGTATTAGGGGCTGTATCAATACTCCCTCATTGAAATAAAGTTTTGTCCTCAAGGCTTAATTCTAGAAATTGACTCTGATAGCAACCTCATCTTCCCACGTAGCCTCTTCCACACTTTTGCCCTTCCACTACACCAACACTTGCCTCAGTATCTCACCTCTTTTTGTAATGTTCTGCACAGCTTAAATAATTTGAGGTTCAACTATTCCTGCTCTGTCATCCTCAAGTCCATAGGTAATTTATCTTTCACTTTATAATTTCCCACAACCTTCTTCAACAAGGACGTGAAACATAAGGTGAATCTTTGATGTTGGAGGCAAATTGAGCCTATATGCCACTTCCCCTACTTTCTCCTTAATCCCAAATGGTCCATAATACTTGGCACGAAGCTTGGGACTGATTCTGCTTATTACTGATTTATGCTGTTTTAGCTTCAAAATTCTTTCTTCTTATTTGCTTGAGTTCTCATTCTATATTGAGCCCTCGACAAATGACTCTTTAACTGAAGCAGGGCCTCATCTCGGTCCAAAAGATCTCTTTGGACTACTTCCACTCTCACCTCTCCTCAAACTACTTCCCCATCTACGTGTATTAGCTTCTTGGATCAATGGCCCATTATGCCCATTGGTATTAGGGTCTATATCATAAAGGATAAGGGTATACAATTATTTTGGGCATTTGTTGGGAGGGGCCAGGTTCCTCAACATACTTGGGTATGCTGTTTTTTATAATTCTTTCATCATTCAGTGAATAATATAAACAGTATCCTGTCTTCCCTATCTATCACCTTTCTTTTCTTTCTTTTTTGTATATTCCGATACTAGTTTTCATAAAATTGGTATTAGAGTTTATTAATCATTATCTCTTGGTTTAGTTAGTGATTACCCTTTGGTTCACTCGTGACTTTAATATTGTCTTGCATTTACTTAGGTGGACTTGATTTGTGGTTGTTGCCCTTGCATTTTTCTGATGAGAACAATTTCGAGGAGTTCATGTTTTTGCAAAGAAATCAGCCTAATGACTATCACAGAAATTCAGTGAAATATTTTCAACTAGCTCTCAACTCAGAACCTTCTGCTTCTGCAGCATTACTTCCATTGGTACAGGTATGGATCATGCATTTCAATTAAATTTGATGGAACCACTAAACATCATTTTGTATTCTGTTCAAGCTGTTTGGTTAACTTAAAATCAGGCTCAGTACGGTTGAAAACTTAAAATCATGTTTGGCCATATCTCTTGTCCCACACTCTTACAAGCTTAGTCTTCAAGCTTGGGATGTGTTGGAGATCATACATCTACTAGAGATATGATTAAATTATAATATATAAGTAGGGTGCAAACCTCACGTTATAAATTGATTTTGTAAGATTAATTTAGATAAAAATTCACTTTCTAATATTATTCAAGTAATTTGTTTTTGTTAAACTAGCGAAACCATTAGACCACTTCAACAAATTGATGAAATGAAAGGGAAAGTAATGGCTTTGCTTCTATCCTTTATGAATGGTAACATATGGAGTGCACCTAGGTTTCAATTCTGATAGAACACTAGGAATTACAGAAACATTCAAGACAGTTCTTGCCATATTTTATTAGGATAGCTTTGTTTCTGCCAATGTGGTAGTAAACAGGAGCAAGGTACAATAGACTAAAGTTTTCGAGAGAACCTGGCTCTCCTAACTCTCTTCCCTCCAAACAATTCGAAAAAAAACTCCCTACAACAACATAAACACATACTATATATAATAGTTTGTTAAACACATTACTACAACATGAGGTTGTAACTGCCTCCTTATTTATTTCTCCTAGTATAAACCCCACCGCTGAACCTATCAATACCTCGCCCAAGCAATTTCACCTTGTCCTTAAGATGAAAATCAGGTAACTCTTTGTTGATAACAACAACAAACTCTCAACTATTCTTAACTTCCGGAAGTTGTTGCCACTTGAGCAGCACTTCCAATTCACCTGTAGAATTTAAGCGTGTATCGAGTAACTTCCAACATATATTCTTCTCGTCAACATTGGCAGCAAGGGTTGAGAGGACTGCAGAGCCGACATTTGTTGGTTTGAGTAATGCCACATGGAAGACTGGATGAATGCGGCTATGCTCTAGTAAGAAAAACTTATAAACAACTTGACCAATACGTTCCACAACCAATATGGTTCGATCTTTAGAAAAACCCAATCCCCCTCTTGATAAACTATATCCCTCCTGTGCTTGTTGGCTTGAAGCTTATTCTGTACTTGTGCTTTGCACAAATTATCCTTCAATGTTTTTAAAATCACATCCCTTTCTTCTTGCATCTGGTTTATACTTTCCACCTTGGATGGAATGGTTGTGCCTTTCTAAATTAGAGGAGGATCACATCCATATAAGGCCTTGAATGGTGTCATATGCAAAGAGGCACTGTAGTTGGTGTCAAACCAAAATTCAGCCCAAGGAAGCCACATGGGGCAATGTTTAGGTTGAATATCTGTCATACACCTAAAGTACATTTCAAGACAACAATTCACAACTTCAGTCTGGCTGTCTGATTGTGGGTGATAGGTAGTGCTATTCTTCAATTTAGTCCCAACTTTTTTAAAAGTTTCCTTCCAAAACTGGTTGAGAAATAATTGGTCTCGGTCAGAAACTATAGAGGAAGGAAACTCATGTAATTTAACCATGTCCTTCACAAAAATATGAGCCACCTCTGTTACTGAGTAGTGATGAGATAAAGCAAAGAAGTGAGCATACTTAGTAAGTCTGTCTACCACCACAAAAATAGTGTCTTTCCCCTTTGCTTTGGGTAGACCTCTATTAAAATCCATGGAGATGCCAAACGATACTTGAATAGGAATTGGTAATTGTTGCAATAACCTTACAGGAGCTGACATACTTCATACTACATCACATAAGCTTTTATGTATTTCCTCATCCCTTTCCAATATAAGAGCCTAGGAACTCTTTTGAGGGTGCAAAAATAACTGCTATGACCTCCTAAAGATGATTCATGAAGCTCCTTAAGAATGATTGGAATTCGGGAGTAGTGTCTAAGCAACACTATTTTACCTTGATAATATAGCCACCCCCTCTTTAACTCATAGTGTGCATGAGCCTTAGGATCTGCTAATAAATCTTGAATGAAATACTCAACTTAGTGTCCTTTTGCATCTCTAATTCCCAGTCCTCCCACTCTTGGGGTTGCAAAACAGAGATATTGTTAAAATAAGCTTGTCTAGAAAGTGCATCAACTACGATATTCTTCCTTCCAGGTCGAATTTCAAAGTCAAATCCGATTAACGTAGAAGCCCATTTGAACTGTTCTTCTATCAAAAGTTTCTGCGTAGTAAAAAACTTTAAACTCTTTTGATCAGTAACTAAGATGAAATGGGTCCCCATCCAATAATACTTACATTTTTGCACTGCCTGAACCAAGGGCATTAACTCTCTTTCATAAACTGATTTGTTCTGAGCTCTTTGACAGTGCTTGGCTCCAATAGGCTAAAAGTCTGCCTTCTTGGAGCAAAACCACACCCAACCCTTTGCTAGAAGCATCAGTCTCAACCACAAAAGATTTGGAATTGCCAAGGTGGGTAAATGTGAGACAACAAATTTAAGAACCTCAAAAGCCTTTTGAGCATCCACATTCCAACTAAACCCATCCTTTTTAAATAGTTGGATCAAAGGCTTGGCTATTTTTCCATAATCTTGAACAAACCGCTTATAATACCCCGTTAAGCGTAGAAATCCTCTTAAAGACGTAGCGTCCTTTAGAATTGACCAATTCCACATTGCTTCCACCTTCTTGGGTCAGTCGACACTCCTCCACCTGAAATCACATGGCCCAAATACTCAATGTTGTTTTGACCGAAGTTGCACTTCTTTTTATTGACTTTCAATTATTGCTCAATCAACTTTTTGAAGACTTGCTTGAAGATGAATGACAATAAAACACTGAGTGGTCTGCTTCACTCCTTTTAATGCCAAACAACTGCACAACATGACTGAATTTTTTCAAACCAAGCTCGGGGTGACTGTTTCAAGCCATAAAGAGATCGGTGTAGCTTACACACTAAACTAGACTCCCCCTGAGCAACAAAGCTAGGAGATTGCTCCATATAGATCTCTTCCTCAAGATCACGTTGAAGAAATGCATTTTTAATGTCTAGTTGGTGAAGTGGTCAATGACAAATAGCAGCCATAGCAAGGAACAGACGAATAGTGGAAATCTTAGCTATTGGAGAGAAGGTATCACGATGAGTCAATACCATAAATTTGAGTGAATCCTTTAGCTACTAAACAAGTCACTTTACCATTATTATCAACTTTAACCGCATAGACTCATCTCGCAACCCACAACCTTTTTGCCAGGAGGAAGAGGGACAAACTCCCAAGTGTCATTGTGCTCAAGGGCCTGCAATTTATCAATCATGGTTTGTCGCCATCCAAAGTGATCAAGTGCCTCATGAACATTATTAAGAATAGACGTTATCAGCCAAGGAGACAACAAAAGAAGAATATGAAGAAAACAGACGATAGTAACTTAAAAAATTATAAATAAGAAAGAGATTTCAAGTGGAACGAGTACCTTTTCTAAGGACAATAGGCCAGCCAAAATCTAAAGTGGGAGAAAAGGTTGAAGGATCCATGGTATGAGAAGCTGATGGAGACAGATCTGAATCACAATTATCTGTAGGAATTGGTAAAGGTATAGGAGGGGTCTTGTGGTGATATGTGAGAAGAGGAGGGGTATCATTATGACTCGTAGACTCGAATTAGGGAAGGATCGGATATTATAAGTGGATCACATAAAGGTATAGGCAAAACTTGCTAAATTGATAAACCATTTTCCATGGGAGAAGAAAAGAAGGGTGTTTCCTCAAAGAAGATGACATTAGCAAGCATATAATACCTTTTGGAAGATGGAGAATAACATTTATACCCTTTTTGAAGGCAAGAGTATACCAAAAAAACACATTTAATGACCTTAGCACTTAGTTTATCAAGACCTGGAGATACATTGAAAAAAGGATCATCTGGGAAAATAAGAAAATGTCGAATTTGATTTTTAAGAGAGGAAGATGATATCCGATTAATAAAAAAAAAAGTAGTGAGAATTGCAACTCTCCAATGATGAACAAGGACATTAGCATTCAACATTAGAGAGCGTGCAATTTCAATAAGGTGTCTATTATTTTTCTTTTCTGCAACACCATTTTGCTATAAGGTGAGGACAAGTTGATTGATGTAAAATTCCTTAGGAAGATAAAAAAGAAGAGAAGGAGGCAGATAAATATTCTTTGACATTATTACTTTTGAGAACTTTAATTATCTTCCCAAATTGATTTTTAATTTCATTGAAAAAGGACACAAAAATGGATAAAAGTTTAGATTTGTCTTTTATTAAATAAACTCAAGTACATCTAGAAAATTCATCAATAAAGGTCACAAAATACCGAAAGCCAATAGAGGAAACACGACTCGGTCCCCAAACATCAGAATGAATATTCGAAAAAGGAAAACTACATCGAGTTTCAAGCTGTTTAGGAAAAGTAGTCTAACATGTTTTCCTAATTGACAAAATTCACACTCTAAAACCCGAAGATGTTGAAGATTAGGAGTCATCACTTTCAACTTAGATAGACTTTGGTAGCCCTGACGATCATGTAAAAGTTTAAGGGCAGGAGAAACCAGGAATACATTGAAGGACTTGGTTTTAGATAGTGCAAACCATGTGATTCATATCCTTCTCCAATCAGACGACCTGTACCATGTTCCTGAATAACAAAAGAATTTGGTAGTAAGTGTTGCAGAACAATTCAAAGAACGAGTAAGTTGAATTAGAGAGATCATGTTATAATGACAATTAGGAATGAAAAGAACATAATTTAAATTTAGAGACAGAGTTAAAGGAACTTGGCCAACTTCTTGAGATTTCACTTTGGATGCATTAGCTACAGTGATTAAGTAAGAAATTTTAGGATAAGACATAAAGGAAAACGAGGAACTATTACCATATATATGATCAGAGGCACCTGAGTCAAGAATCTATGAGTTCTGACCTTCCACATATTGAGAAATGCATGTAGTTGAAACATTTGACATTGAAGAGGATTGACTCTGACTTCTAAACTTTCCAGATTTGAACTTCAAAAACTCCTGATACTCCTCATCAGAAATCTTCATATTTAGATGCATGGACAGTCGTTGTCATGAAAACCATGCAAGGAATAACAATTTTCTTACATGTGTCCCATCCTCTTACAATAGGAGCATTGAGGACGAACTTATGTACTACCATATCTTTCTCGATTGTTGCGTCCTCCCCCTCGACCACGAGGAGCAACCATAGTAGAAGATTGCACAAAGTTGGAAGTCTATTTCTCCCATTGAGACCTTTTTACAGTGGAAATAGAGTCTATAT